CACGACATATCGTCGGGAATATCAAAATGGTGCCGTTGGCATTGCATCGGACCGCCGAGTGCCAATTACCAAAATTTTATTTGGAGGAAACCGGCATGAAATTGTATTAGGATTGCGATCGATACCTCAATTTTAGCACTTCGGATTGAAGAGAGGAATATCTCGCAGGGGTTGGATAAGTTGAACCGGAGTGGCAGAATGGAAAGGGGCGCTTTTTTATTCAGGGTGGACAACATAACCTGATACATCCCCTTCTCTCAGAAACCAGTGGTTAAACTGTGGTAGACTATAACAGGCTGTATTTTTTAAATACAAATGGATATAGTCAAATAATGGTAGGTGGTATGGACCGTTTCATATCTAAAAATAAAATAAGTCTTTACTTCAGTTTTTATGGATACCTAAACACCCCGAATATTTAGTATCACATATCTCAGACACTATTGAACGGATTTTCTTGAAATTTTACATCAGAACAAAATTACTGACGAATAACGTGAAACTATACGAGCGGTTTTCGTTTTTCACGAGCTAAATATTGGAACGTTTGACTATACACAAAAAAAAACAATAAGCCGATGAATGGTGCTAAATAATTAGCAAAATAGGTTGTTCGGGCCTCTTTTTTTAGTTAAAGTGTTTACTTATTCAAATATCTTATTTTTGCTTTTGCTTATGTGACTCAAAATTTCAACGGTTGTTATCTTGGATTTTATCAACATTTTACAAAGTAATGCTCAAAATTGAACTAAAGGCCTTGTGGGCACACAAAATTGCAGTGCAGTGCAACGCCCTGTAAGTTATACTATGAATTTACTATTTCGCAGAAACAAGGGCAATATACGATATAAATAAAAGGCAAAATTAGAGTCATCCATTTTATTCATTTTTTTTTTTCGGTAGTTTTCAATTCTAGCAACTGTTGTTACACAAGGTTAGTTCTGCTCTAAATGGAAATGACATTTACTGTGCGAATGCGAATATCAAACCAATTCAAGATTATGGATCTAGGATTTTTAACTTGATTTTACGTTATTCTGAATGGTCAAATTTAGGGGAATCTCTTATTAAATGCTGTTTCCCTTTTAAACAGAACTCATCTTGTGGTACAGTTGTTAGAGTCAAGTCATAAAAAAGATTACCGGATTAAGCAAGTACGGTGCATAACATTATTTTTTTTTTTCATTTATATCATATATTTCTCTTTTTTTTGTGAAATCATAATAAATTCTGTACAACCTATAGGGAGTTGCACACAATAAAATACAAGGAAGTGAAATAAACTGAATCCGACCCCGGGATTTTGAGTCACGAAAACATCTTCAAATTTTGAACATTATTTTGTTGATGAAACCAAGTGTGTAACACTTGAAATTTTGCTAGAAATAAAATATCAGGACAGATAAGAATGACTAAAAAACCAAAAGAGGAGCAATAAATCTATTTTGCTAAATAATTGGCACCACGCATCGGCTTTAGTTGTACAAAGTCAAACGTACCAATAAACAGGTTAAAAGCTGTTGAGGTTAAAAAGTTTTGTTTTCAGATATGAAAATGTTTCGGTCCATACTACTCGTACCTAGGACTCCATTATGTTCCTTTGTGTATAGAACACCATAAAGGTCATACAGATAAACCAAAATATGACTGACAAGGCAATGTGTACGAGACAGAAGATCGAGGAGCGTGCAATAGGCATGCTAGAAGCAAAGCGTTGCCTAGCAACCCCAGTGATGAAGGAACTGACGTAGCTGCGGCTTGCCTCGTTACCATCGGCACACTCTTTTTAGCATATGGTTGTGCCTCAGCTGAAAATACATTTTTGAATCAGATTAGTTTTTACTTGTATATACTTCTCCATGAGGAATCCCATCTGACCCATCTATCAATCCTGGGACCACCTTCAGCCCGCAACCTTGGAATTTGTTAGTTCAAGCTCCATTTCTAAGTCTACCAGATCAACTGGAAATCTGGAACGATCTATCAAAACAAACTTTTCTCAATTTCATTAACTAGTTAAAAATTTGTATGAAAAGTCTCTCCTCAATGACATTCCGATAGTCGGTAATTAGGCTGCTTGAGTATAAAACTGTGCACGTATGCATCTAAAAGCTTTTCAGTCCACAACCATATCCATCTCCTGACCAAATGCAGGGTAAAACTGAGGCTCATGGCCGATCAATGACAATACGTACCACATTCAACCCTCTCTATGGAGAAAAACATAATGGACTCTCGGGCCTTCGATGAAGAAAGCGCAGCGCTAAAAGCGTTTCTTTCATTTTACCAGAACCGAATTTAATTCGGTTCGCTCTGTCAGTGGCGCAGTACGCTTGAATCAGATATAGGATCTCAAACTAAATGTTCGTACAAAGCCATCTACAAAATGGTAGCATAGTCATGGAGAGCGTGAAAACTTAATATTTTGGACCGAATTACGAAGCGACATCGAAGAAGATGGCGTCAAGTAGGTTGGTCTCAGAAAAATATTGACTACGGGCATTTATGTTATAACAAAGAAAGCAAATGGATCTCACAATCAGTCCATAGTCCAACAGTGCGATCTAGGTTACCTCCCGACGGACTAATGTTTAAAAATACAGGGTGTGGACGTTATGGTCATTATTGAAATGGGTAAAGGGGGGGGGGAGGCAAAGCAAGTCAAAAAGTTCATATGACCCATGGTCCAAAAGTCAATAGATTCTTGTCTAAATGGCTTTATACTTTACAACTTTAAGTGCTGTATATCTAAAACGTGTTTAAATTGGGTAATTAATAAATAAATGGCATTAAGTTTTTCTAAGTTAAGCCAAACTTTGTAGTCAGTAAGTAAGTAAATTTCATTAAATTAGATATACTAAGTGACATATAAATCCGAACACCCAGTTTAAATGGTTTTATTTTAATAAAATTTTGTATAAGTACTTAATGAAGCATAATAAGTAAATGATAAAAATTTCAAAATGATTGCACTGCTTTAAAGCCCTTTGACCTTTAATAATGTGTGGATGCACCCTGATGTGCTACGCATTCTCCAACGTGCCTAGGCATGCTTCTGATCAGATGGTCAATGTCCTCCTGTGGTATCTCATTCCAGGCAACTACCAACTCCTCTCGAAGTGCTTCTAGTCTGAAGAGGACGTTTCAAATTGAGCAATCTCCTACCCATCATATCCCACACGTGCTCAATTGGGGATAAGTCGGGAGATCTTGGTGGCCATGGTAACAATGTGACATCATTATGTTGAAAGAAGTCCACTCTTGCAACATGTGTCCGGGCATTTTCTTGTTGGACAGTTGGATCTGCCAGGGTGTCAAGATAGGGTAAAAGATGGGGTTCTAGAACTTCGTGGATATAACGCTGCGCGTTCATGTTACCTCTGATGAAGATTAAAGGTGACCTGGAACCATAAGCTATACCACCCCAAACCATAACTCCAACACTGTGATGAACATGTCATTCAACAAAAAACTGTGGATTCCTCCTTTCACCACATCACCTTCTAACCCTGGCACGACCATCGTGCATGCCTAAACAAAATCGAGACTCGTCACTAAAGACAATACTGTTCCATTCCTGATCCCAGAGTGACCGTTGTCTGCACCACTCAAGGCGATTACGTCGGTGTTCTCGAGTTAAAGGGAAGACCCAGTGTGGCCGGTATGAAAACAAGCCAAAACTTCTCATTCGTCGGTAAACACATCGAATGCCAATAAGTCTTCCGTGTTCTGCAAACCATTCATTTGCAATGGACCTGGTAGTGGAGAAACGGTCCCTTAAGGCCAATAATCTTAGGCGGCGATCTTCACGGTCTGTTGTTCTACGGCGGCGTCCAGTGCCCCTTGCTCTTTGCGTACGGCCTTCTCGAAGCCATGCCTGACAACACCTAACCACAGTGTCTACACTTCTTTGCACTCTAACTGCAATTGCCCGAAAAGAAAGTCCAGCTTCCCGAAGTCCCACTATACGGCCCCTATCAAGCTCACTAAGTTGACGAAATCGTACAGGTCTCCGTACTCTAGACATCGTAACTGATCGTAAAGGATGTCAAGGACCAAAATCCGCCAACGTTGATTCTTTACTGCGGCTGAAATATTCATTTTTAGAGCGTTAGTGAATTCAAAAAAAGCAGTATAAAAACCGGAATGTCCAACTGATAAGGCTGAAAATTTTTTCACTTGTTATTTACAGTAAGATAAAAATGCATTCACCAACTTTTATTAAAATAAAACCATTTAAACTGGGTGTTCGGATTTATGTCACTTAGTATATTTAAAACACACATGACAACAACGGTCGTCATCACTATTATCGAACCGGCAATAGATCTCAAAAGGTAACAGTGGTTGGTTTTCGGACATTTTGTGTTTGTGCGTACGTCGTCGTGTTTGTTTACAATGTTCTCGAATCATCAGTTCGCCGACATGTTGTTAGTTTACGGTGAAGCTCGTCAAAAGGACATTTGTGCAAGTGTACCAAAGACTTCGAGATACAGGAAGTGTTCAGCCCACTAATATTCGCACTCGTGAAAGACAGGTTACTGTAGAACAAAAGGAACAAATTTAAAATATCGAGGAAATCAATGCAGATATCAGCACTCGGGAATTAGGCCGCCGCGTAGGACTATCGCATACCATAGACCATAGAATCCTACGGACAAATTTGCTTTATCCCTACTATATACAACGAGTGCAGGCCTTTTTACCAGAAGACTATCCTCGCAGACTAACATTCTGTCAGTGGTTTTTGCACAAAAACATTGAAAATCCGGATGATTAAAAAACATTCTAGCGACAGACAAATATGTACTTTTTCGCGAGACGGGATATTAAATTCCCATAATACTCACACGTGAGCCCAAGAAAATCCTCATACCATTCGTGAAGGTCATTTCCAGCAACGTTTTAAAATAAAGAAGAAATAACTATAACATATAACTATTTAAAGTGAAAAAGTCTTTAAATACGGTTCAGTAGGCCTCTAACGGAAGAAAACCTTGAAAATGTCACAAAACTCATAAGCATCATTTGATACTTTAATCCAGATTGGGGAATCGGATCAGGAACGCCAGATTCGAATATGAGAATCGTTGAACAAAACGTTGGCAATATTGCAAATTTATAGATTCTTTCAAAAGATTTTGAAATGTGACAGTTTCTATATGCTCAAGAGGGTTAGGTATCGAAATGGAAAGGAATCAGAAGAAATGAGAACCGAATTTTACTGCTAATGAAAAGATGCATTTATTTAATGTAAAAGTGCATGGCTATGCGAAAATATTAGAGGACAAGAAGGCCGACAGAGCCTCTAGAGCAATGCTTGGAACCAAATTGAAAAAGACTTTAACTCCTCCCTCTACTGCATACAGATGTGCCCAGTCATTGATAATGTTCTATGAATATAAGAAAAAAGAATTAAGAAGGAAAATAGGTGAGGAGAAAAACCAAAGAGTTTCAACTGGAGGTGGAGCAATGCCTGCTATGAAGTGGGGGCCTGAAGTCGCTCTCCAAATCACTTTCCCCAGACTCCACAGAGGTCTACAAGAAGACCGAAGCAAGTTGTGACTGCTTTAATATCTTTTGATATTGCCTCTAAATACAATCTACTCTTAGACAAAATACTGACTATTGGAAAAACAAAAGCTACAGATTAAGAGCAAGAATTTATAAAAATGGAAAGAAAATTTAAAATAGATTTGCTTCAGTTAAAAATTTCCAATCAAAAAATAAATTTAAGTTACCTTATAATGATGATTATTACTTTGTGTTAAGATACTGTATGTTACTTTTTTTTAGTGTAATAAAGATACTGTAGGAAAGTTTTAAAAAGTATGTAGTTTTCCCACAAATTGTGTTTTTATTATCCAGATGTTTTATAAATAACTAAAATAGTTATCTATCAGATTTTGGCGAAAATTAAATGGGTCTTGACCAACATTCGCTGCATGTGCATGAGGAATATCTCCTTGTAAAATTAGGTAATCCAGCTCTTGACCGTTGAGTTCTTTTGGATAGGGAGGCAAATCCTCTAGCACATTCGCGGCCATGTTTTGCTAGCACAGCAGTGGCAACAATTGTAGTTAAAGCGTTATCTAATCGACATCGACTACCATAGGCTAATACTGGGAACCGACATTCCCAAACACCAATTAATGTTTCTACTACATTGCACATAAGCTTCATTTTAATGATTTTCGACAATATTGCCTGGATTTTGTAGATGTGTCATTAGGTAGACTTTCAGCTGGTAACCACTCTCCCAAGAGCGCCGCGTTCTGAAATTGTCTCTCTTCAATGCGTGTTCTTAGGTGAGATGCATTGAAAATAGTTGAATCATGGGTAGATCCTGGCCATCGAGTAATAATATCAAATATTTTCAAATCTGGCCCAGCAACTATTTCAGAATTTATAGAAAAATATAACTTGCTGTTACGAAAAGCTTCTCCATCTTGAGCTCCTGGTGATTGCATCTTTATGTGCGTCCCGTCAATGTATCCAATGACTCGTGAAAATCTACAGATCCTATAGAAGTCATTCTGAACTCTTATTATTTCATCAGCTTCATTGGGCATTCTGATATATTGATTTGATAAACCTGCTATTGCTCTTGAAACTTTTGCAATTATACGGGATGCTGTTGTCTGATGCATGCTAATAAAGTCTCCAATACAATTTTAATGTGCATTGCAGGCATAAAATCGTAGGCATGTGGGGAGTCGATTAATGGGCGACACACTATTATTCCTGGAAAAACAAAAATCTTATAGTGACTGAAATCTTGGAAATACCTAATGTGATTCAGATCCACAGCCAGAGAAAAGGTTTTTAAAGACGTTCTTGTCTAAAGTTCAATTCTGGCCAAGGAAATTGATTATCGTATTTAATATTTGGTATAAAATACTTACAAATGGTTATGAAACTCGAGTTGATGCTTTATTTAATCTATCAATCTGAGGACAGTGTTTTTTTGGAGCCGAATTCTCCTGAAAGACGATAGGTCGTCCATCTCGTTAAAAAAATATGTACGTTCATAATAGTGTCTTGGAAATCCGAAGCGAATAATATCTAGAATGTCACCATGGACGAAAAGGGAAATCTCATCTTCGATCTGCATTACTTTTGCAAAAAAACACTTTTTCGCAGACATCAACAAACTCGAAATAAGGCTAGAACCCCAATCCGTCAATTTTCGTATTGAACTGTTAATACGCTAGGATTACGCCTAAACGCGATGTATCGGTGCATATGAAAACGTGGCAATAATCTGGATTAGCCATTAATCGTACTTCTCAAGGGACAGTGAATATAGGCATAGATCGCAAAACTATTTTGGGGCTTCTTTGCGTATATCTTTCTAATACTGATCGAGCATGTTACGCCCCTGTGCGTTATGGTAGTTTTCCAGAATTCCAAGATGGAGTTTTAAAGTGCATATGGCGTGCTTCTAAATAAGGCTCGTTAGGAGAGGAGAGGTAATGTGCTTTGGAGTGTGAGGTGTGTATATGTACGAACGAACATTCGTTATTATACTGCACAAATACCGACAGAAAAATACGGAACGGCTGGATTGATATGTCTTTAACAAGCATATTATTATGTTTATTTTTGAAATCGCGAGCTAATAAAAAGCTATTTTACAATCATGCAAACTTACGAGGTGTTGCTGTGGTTTGCCTTGAACTTTTGCAGCGCTAGGGATGCTAACACACCGTTTCGTATCATACCTTAGGCAGTGGTAAAACAGGTCGACATTAAGATATCCTACACTTATTGGGGTCGCTCATACCAATATCGTGGTCGATTCACCTCTTAAACGTCTAGTTTATGGTAATATCAAGGCCAGACATAGGAAAAACGCTAAAAACGTTTGGAAAATGTATATTGTCGCGCAATTCAAATACTTGGTTTATTCTGTCCGGCAAGGTTATCCACTTGAACCTTTAAATAGCCTTAATTTGACTTTGAAGTAATCTCAGGCTGACTTTTCTTCTCAAAATGAGAGTCACGTTTGGATTCAGCCACCCTTTTTTACACCGGTTGACCTTGTAATAAGCTTAACTCAATCTTAGAATATTTTCAGGATAACCTCATCTATTGAAAAATATACCATATGCAGATTCAGTGACCTCAAAAAGGTGCGTGTGGATGTTTTCAAATGGGTTTAGACACACTTACGAGACAATCTTTTTGTGATGTTGAATTGACCTCTAGATGACCTTGTCGAGTAAAACTCATGCCATATTTCAGAGGGGCCAAAAAACCTGTATGTGAAGAGCATCTTCGCACAGCTTGGTCTTGGAGTAACCTTAATTTGACATTGAAATAACTTTACTCTCTTCGTAAAACAAATACCAAATTCCAACTAAACGACCTCGAAAATGTACGTGTGGAGATTTGCAAACAAATTCAATCAGTTTTACAAACGTTAGCCTTGAAACAACCTTAATTTGGTCTTGAAATGACCTCTAGATAAGGATGGCAACGATGTATCGAAAACACCGATAGATCGAACCTAGAGCATCGATCCTTTGGCATTGATGGCTCCATGTCGGTGTACCTGAACTGTGCAATATTATCATCATAAACGCTAGATGGACTGCTTTAAATTCTGTATTTCCTTCAAAATAAACTGCATACTTAAAGTACTCTGAGTGATTCAATATTTATTATTTTATGTTTGTTACATTTTTTAAACTCTCAAATAATCTCCGTATATTTATTTATTTATACATAATTGCGCAACAGACTAATCCAATTACAGGGCAATATAATGGTATCTTTACTTATACTGTGCATACATAAAACAAACATAAAAGAACAGAATCAGCTCTTGTAATAGTCCCTCAAGTTCGACAAGATCTGACTGATACGAGGGATGTCTTTTAAGTTTTGCATATAGAAACATAGTAGGCCGCGCGGATCGAACGTCAGTACTGAATCTTAACATCACTCTTTAGTAAACTTAAGTTCAAACTTTCACAACAATGCGTGCAGTGTTCTCACTACAATGAATTTTTTAAGTGTCACCAAGTCATTAGAAAAATGGAACTCGACCGAGAACTTTTTCGCGACTTAACTTATTACAACCTTCAGAGACAATTATCGCAACAAGAATGCCTTGCTGAGTTACTGCTTGTTTTCGGCAACGAAGCGCAACATCAGTCGACAATTTCCCATTGGTATGGAGAATTCAAACGTGGACGGGTGAGTCTAAGTGTCAATCCCAGTGTGGGTGCACCAAAAAACGGCAGTCACCCTGGAAAACGTCGATGCTGTGCGCAAGCTCATCATTGAAGATAAACATGTGACGAGATTGAGGCGTCCTTGAAGATCTCAAAGACCTCAATTCAAAAAATTTTACATGAAGAATTAGGAGTAAGAAAATTAGTTTCTCGTTGGATACCCCACCTGTTGACTGAAGAGCAGAAAGCAGCCAGGGTTAATTGGTGTCAAAAAACGCTTGACCGTTTCAATTCCGGAAACTCAAAAAATGTGTGCAGCATTGTTAGTGGTGATAAATCGTAGATTTACTGTTATGAACTAGAAAATAAAGGACAGTCGGCTGTTTGGGTGTTCCAAGGTGAAGAAAAGCGAACAAAAGTCATCCGTTCTCGAAGTGTTTCGAAAAAGATGGTCGCGACATTTGTGTCAAAAGCGGGTCATATTGCAACAATTCCTCTTAATGAGCAAAGAACTGTTACTGTGGATTGATATATCAATATTTGTTTGCCAAAAGTCATCACCGAGCTTCGAAAAGTCAACCCCGAAAGAAGAATCATCCTCCACCAAGACAATGCACACAGCCCAAAAAACAAAGCAGTATTTAACGGAAGAAAACGTGGAATTATTGGACCATCCTACATATAGTCCCGTTCTAAGTCCTATCGATTTCTTTACTTCCCCGAAAATTAAAAACAGACTGCGTGGTCAGAGGTTCCAGTCACCAGAAGAAGGAGTTGACGCATTCAACAATGCCGTTTTATAGCTGCCAGCAAACGAGTGGAATAAGTGCTTCGAAGATTGGTTCGAGCGCATGCAGATGTGTATTAATCTCCGTGGAGAATACTTGGAAAAACAATCAAGTCATGTAAAACTACCTACCGTGTTGTTTTATTTCCATATGCAAAACTTAAAAGATATCCCTCGTACAATCAAAATCAATGTCAGAACTGTCTCCAATGGAATTATAGTTATTGCACATGGTATAACATAATACGTTGGCACGGGTGGTACTACAGTAGAAAAAGACATTCTCAAATTTAACCGCGGTATACAAAAATTCAACCTCTGGAGAAGATCTGGTGCATCTACTCTGTCGTGCAGAAGTCATGACCATAAATGAAACATCATGCACAGGGTCGCATTTTAAGGAGGGCCTTCTGTGTAACATTTTTTCCTCGACGACTTCATTAAAAAGTTACGGGGTGTTGAAGTTGAAGAATAAAAAGCATTTTTTTAATATCCTCAAAACCGTCAACTGGTATGAAATAAAATTTGGTATGTGGATTAAGCTATGTACTGTCCACATTCAAAAGTCTTCACTTAAAATTAACATGCACCAGTGGTGGAGATACAGGGGATTAGTGGCATTATTTTTCCAAATGAAAATAGTACGTCACTTTTTTTTTAGAAACGCAAATTTTTTCGAATTCTACCATCAATTTTATAGAATACAAAGCAAATACTATAATCCAATTGGCGTCTCTGTTGATAATATTGATGCCACTGGGTACTACTAAACAGATTTCTGCCATGTCGGGAATGTGTACATTCTGCCAATTTTGAGGCTGCTATTCCCATTTAGAGATTACAGTTACAATCAAGACACATTGTCGGTTGCATCTATACATCGACACAAAACCATCAATGGCAAACTATCTGTATCTTTATCATACGTAAGATAGAGCAATAAACTGCCGCAACCTCAACATAAATAAGCCTCCTGTACGTCAGACGCGCTTCATGAACCATTTTTTAGGCAACCGCTCAGATAGCTCCCGTACCCTTCCAGATCGACGAAAGGGAGAATAAAACAATGCATCTTAGTCGACGGTTGGCAGTGTGTGGGGTAAGTTATTGTCCTCCAGCGAGCTATTTCCCTTTAACACCAGAGCAGGTGATGAAGGAGGCATCTAAAGAATGTATTGAGGTGAGACGTTTTTGTGGTGGGTAAGTAATTGGTATCATAGCAGTTACGGAGGACGTATTCCAAGGACGAAGAAAATTGTTGCCGTGATAATCCAATAAGGAATGCCGTCGAATAAAAAAGTGATTTTTCAGTTCTTACCGAACATGGAACTACTAGGCCGACAGAATAGTGAATTCGGTTAAACAGGGTGTCTAGAATATATGGACCAAAATATCTCGAAAAATGTACTTCCCGAATAAAAATATTGTCGAGCTTTGTATGATTTGGGAACGGAAATCTAAGGATGACCTTGACTATGACATTAAAGGTTTTTTAAACGAAAACCCTTATTTTTGACACTGAAAGTAAGAAGAGCCGAGAATCATATGATCAAGTATACCATAATCAGTCACCATAACCATAACCTTCTTGCTCATTTGAAGGTGAAATAAAAGAGTGGGCACAAACCTTACGGAAATCGGTCCCCGGTGAATCTTGCTCAAACTTTGGGAATAAGCTCTCAAGCCTATAACACAGTGTAGCTCCTGAATACAAACTTATCGAAGAGAACTATTAGTGGGTTATTATACATGGTATCCAAGGACACATTTATAAAACACCCACAAATATACAGTTTGTCCGAAATTTAGATCACTAACATTTTTTTTTTAATGGAAAGCCATACTTTTAGTAGAAGAAGATTGATATGACCTACTTATGGATTTTGATTATTAGTTATTGAGCTATTGGGTATTCTATCTAAACAAAACAGTTTTACACCTGTATATCTGCTGTCTCCACAGTTTGGATTAGTGTAGCTATAGGTCAATATATTGATGAAAAGAAAACATAGGTAGTAACAAGTTCGCAGATTTCAAGACGACCACAACCTTCAACGTCATGTTACGGTCAAGTCACTTCTTTTCCATGAATCAATTCATTTTTTATCACGGAAATTAACGTTCCACATGGATTCACAATAGTCGAATGAGCCATAACCATTGCCAATAATATCTAAATATTGACCATGACCTTCAAAGTCTCGTCAAGGTCACGTCACTGCTTTTCAATGAGTCACTTTATTTTCGACCCCGGAAACGAAGCTAGTAGAACGTACGATAAACCATGAACTTTTGAGGGTTAAATGCAAATATTATGGTTTCTGTAACATCTCGTTGAAATTGATAAGTAGCTTCCTCATAAATAGGTCTCAGAGAATCGTTATTGATACTGAACCTTCGCCTGAAAGTGTGATTTCCTCGAGAGAACCACAAGGCTCAGTACTTGGACCGCTTCTATTTCTATTGTATATATTTATTTGAACAAAATCATAAAGTACTGCAATATTCTGCATTTTTTTACGGGCAATTCACAACTATATTTTAGTTTTGACCACAGCAATATGAATACTGCCGAATTTCAGATGTCAGAGGATTTGAAATCTGTTGAAGCTTATGTCGCCGAACATAACCTTCACTTAGATCCTTTTAAACACGTATCCACTAGAACTAGATGAACTAATTTATTATTTATACTATTCGTCGTTCTTCACGAGAGCATTCCGGCGGACCGTTACTCTTGGTTCAAAGCCTTGTCGATCTGTTAGTCTGTCAGGTCGTCTGGCTATCAAGACATATTCAAGGGGAAAATGGAAAGAAGGAAAGAAAGGAAGAGAGAAATAGAGCGAAGGAAAGAAGTAACTCATTTGAAGTAGAATACGTTCAAGCATTATGACTACTCCAATATTTTTGTCCAAGTCCATAAATAAATTTGGTTGGTCTGAAATTCACGGCCTTGCTCAACTGTTATATGTGAATGTCATTTGACACGTATCACGACACGAGTATCACGTATCTTGAAAAGTGACATTATGCCGTTTTTTTTTTGACATTATGCTGTTTTTTTACATTATGTAGGTTTTTCGCCAAGACGTTGACATAGCACTTAGTTGTACGTGTTGCCTAAACATCATGAGCCTTGTTATCAATCTTTGGCGCCCATGTGATGTAAAATCTGCTTCTGAGATGGCACTACTGGAGGTCTTAGCTGTAACTTGTATGCGTTGATGATAATTACATTGGGTTCTTGTCTCAAATACACTTAATTGAGATTCAAAGCTAGAAATTAGTTGCGTATCCACTTTTTCTTATCCATTCTAGAAATTACATGTTATACATATTTGTTGAATTTCAAAAATGAGAGAGATAAGAAGTAATTATATTCACTGTACACTGTCGAATTACAAGCCATATACCTGTACATGCTAACAATAATTACACACAACGCAGTCGCGGTGATGATTTCCCGTAATTCTCCTCAGTTTTTCATAATTTATAACTTTGAACAAAACCTCTCTTCACACAGCAAATATCACTGATTTCATACACATGCAGATCAATCAATCATCCAGATGCGATCTTGTTATTCAACCAACTTTCTTCTCAGAGATAAAAGCTACAGACACGGATCACTCAGCCTCACCAAACTATGCAACCAATAATGCATGTATAGTTTAGTTGAGTGATTCCTTCATAGATGGACGTTCTCAACGATCCTAGTGGGCAAACGTGGAATGACTGTTTGCGCCCTAAAAACTACATAGTCTGCAAGTTGACATCTTATAGGTTTTTTTGACGTTTTGTAGGTTATTTACATGATGTTCTGTTTTGCAGGACTTGAAGAGTATAAAATACTCACTTTGTTGACCAAACTTAATTTTGGATTTCGGCACAACAAAAGATAAAGCTGCAGAAAGGTAATTTGGAATGTAGTTTTCAAAATATCAGCATGTTTCTACCACGTCAACCCGTTGTCAATGATGACAGATTGTTATTTTTACTTTTTTACAAAATCATGTTCAAGTAGCTGATCGCGTTGCGTCGATTGCCCTCCGTTGCCTGACTATCTCCCATCTCTGCCTTTATACCCGTGCGTCTCATATTCTGGATCTGTTCTAGGAGAGTAATCGAGCTTCTTCTGTAGGTTCGCAGTTTCCGTGGAAACCAATAGATGGGGCTGCAAGTTCTCGCTGGCACCAAGGGGCAGCGTCAATGTCTTACTACCGCCAATAGATGACTCTCACCGTGTATACAAGAAGGACGTAGGGGGGGGGTAACTGGTTTTATATTAACAATGTATTTTGTTGACTTTCAAGCTTGTCTATATATAGATATTTACTTATTTTTGTCCAATCAGCACCTACTGGAGCATGTATAGTCTTTAAATCTCGTTTACTAACTATCCAACTACAACGTTAAGCAATGCGAAATTCTGAGAAATAAAAAATGAAACAAATAAATCAAATCCAAGCGAATAACCAAAATTTCTGTGTTACGTGCCGCGGTTATCGTATGGTTCAAGATGACACACGTGTTCATGACGTCAGTTACTCGAATCGCTTGAACGCGTTGGTTTGAGCTGCGCTTTTGTTGCAAGTTGTTTATTCTAGAAAAGCGCGTATATAATCTCTGATTATTGTGTATGGAAAGTTTAAAAAAGAAACCTTTCATAATATTCATGGGAGAATTTTTTTTCCGTTTCTTTTTTAATGATGGAACCATGGCTTTGTAGCTATGGTAACTTTCAATTCTCTAAAGTGTTCCGCATGTCAAAGAAAACATTTATTGATTCAGCAGAAATGATGAAAATAGCTACTAGCAAAACCTTATACTTTTTTAAGCATAGGAACTACATTTAAACTGTCCCCATCAACAACAGTAATGAGTATAACTAAAAAGGTGCTCCACATTATGGTAAAACTGAAGTCAGCCTGTAACAAGTTTCCTCAAAATGAAGCTGAAATACAATAACAATATGGAATACCCGGCAAAATTCTAACTTGTCACATTTCAAATAATAACCAGAAATATAAAACTACTCCTGAGTTGGGTAAATACCACAATTTTGCCGTGATAACTATGACATATAACAGCTGATTCATGACGTCACGGATCGTATAACCAAACTGATAACCACACTCGCTTGAACTGATCGGTAAATACCAACCCAAAATGATAAATACCATTTTCATTCGGTTATCCGCTTGAATTTGTTTATAGAAATACTACCAGTATACGGAAATACCGATGACGTGTCCATTAAGCACCTTCACCAAAGTCGACATACTTGCCGTCATTTTTTCTTAGGTCGGAGACAATGATGCAGGAACATTAATTTTATTGAAGTCCAAAACGTGTTTGAACAGTCAGCCACGTCCTAGGATCCTTGGAGACTATTAATCTCTTAGATTGAACAGACCCGGACAGGGATGGATTTTGAATCGTGTCGGATAAGGCCCAGATAAAACAATTTAAGAGTTATTTTTGCTCAGACCGTGACGATGATCAATCAATAGCTGCGCTTCAACGTTATATTTCAGTCAAGTTAAATGAAAGTACATCAAGGTAAGTGAGGTGTGTACCTTATACAGAAAATGACATACAAAGCTTTTTGGAATATACGTGCAGTTGCTATGAAAAAATGTACCAATTGTAAAATTTGTATAGTAGAATAACCACTAGGATATCGCAAGGTGATTTTCACGAAAAACAATTAACCTACTAATTTTTCCCCTGTATAATAATGACCGGAAAATCTAACAATAAAATCTATTCTTATTTGATATCCGTAAAAGTGTCAAGTGTCTTGTTCTAATACTGTTGCCGGAAATCTAAAAACATTTAAATGTTGATTAAAAGAGCAGTGGCGGATTTAGGATTTCGTCTAACGATATTTCTGGCTGGTATATTCTTAACATCGGTAGAACTTCTAAAATTTCTCCTATTATTGCTCCTTAAATCCATTGTGTTCTATTTGAGAGAGACAATATTTTATTATATGAGAACAAAATAAGTACGTGGCATTTCTAACTAACCAGTGTAACAATTTTAAAGATTAAAACATAAAAAACTTCATTGCTCTGTTAACTGAAAAAAAAAACAAAACAATGTCTTTGATGGCGGACACGAACATGAGACCGAAAAATTCACATTATCGTATGGACGCTGGACGAGATAAAGAAGGATGTCTATAGACCATCTGTAGATCGTGTTTTGAGACCGTCTCCAGAATGCCTATAGACAAGTTGCGCAACGGAGTCTACTAGTGTGTACTAAGCTTAAGGACTTTGAACTGCCCATTCAACAAATCAAGTAATTGGTGCAAATACTGACACAATCAAGCACTTCTATTATATCAGCAGGTGATAAAAATGTCAATAGGTATAGTACAATTATTTTGTGAAATTCATTATAGATGGTTACAGTTATTCTTCAGAATTTCGTTGACGAACTTAGGACTTACGGCATAGCTGATCAGTGTTGATCGCATGTAAAAATGTTGGAAATCTTTGGAAAAAAGCTGTTAGATTGTAATTATTTTGATAATGTATGTTTGCACGAAAAAAGAACAGCAGTAATATAGGGCTGTACATAACATATTTACGTGAGGTGCAGAAGGTCGGTGATTTAAACGAATTCAATATACATAACAACATAAATAGGCACATGGAAGAGATGCGGGACCTGTGGAATTGACTTTGAGCATCGATGGACGCATTTTCTGAACAGGCCAGAGGCTAAACAGATCTCATAAATATCTATTTCCAATTTAGGCGTTCATATAACACAGGGCTTCGCTGCAACACCAACCCCGAACAAAATCAGTCAAGCTTTACATACTTTTCAAATTACTATTGAGCAACAAACAGAACATAAATCACTTTTTAAGTGCAATCTGTATAGCTAATATATTACTCAGACTTAGACAATTCTCCTATATACATACGTATAAATCGTAAGAATTGTGTTGTAACCGTAAGTGATGTCAAAGAGGGCCATATCTAAGCGTAGGTTTTCCCCTCTATCCGTTTCCGGGATGAAAAGTATAGCCCAATTCAAAAAATCATCTTCACCAAGGTCATGCTCAAAGTCAAACTCAAGACTACCTTTAAATAGCCAGGACCTTTGGATCAACCTGTATGTATACCAATTTATATTTTGGCTCCAAATCCAGTTCTGAACCCCTGACTGAACCCCTGTTGGCTTGTAAGGCGGCCCCGCCATGTGTATCTTAACGGGAAGGATATTGACTTATAGGGTAGAACGAGTGTTTGTCCCAAAATGGGAAACAATTCACATGTGTCGAAGTAGAGGGCGGAGGGTAATTATTCTTTGACATGGTGACAAATGAGTCGAGGGAGAGCAAAGTGCTATGGAAACATTCGGCCTGGTAATAGGTAATTATCTTGAGTCAGATCTGAAGTGCCATTAAGAGGAAGGTGAGAATGAATAGGTTAGTTTTGGTTCTAGCATCCCATCGGACTCGTCGACAGACGCTTGAATAGGCTTCTTTAAGGTGGAACTGTTGGCTAGTAGTGGTATTTGAAATAAACAGGTTGGAAAAGTGACAATATACAGGGTGTTTCAGTTTATTGTTGCATAACTTTAAGATTCGATAGAACTTTTAAAGTTAATGCATAAGGTCTATATAAACATGGGTCGAAAAATGCGTGGCTTCCAAAATACAGGGTGTTTAAATTTACTTTCTAAAATAGTTTTTTTTAAATATTTCGATCAATATTTGATGTATAACAGTGAAAATTGGTATACAAGGATTTTGTGGTACGACAAAACGAACCATGGGCATAGTTTTACTGTAGCCGCTAGAGGGCGCTCTCTACTGTACCTGTAGTGTATTAAAATGACCGAAAACTTTTTCTTAGTAGAATTTTTTGCTTTTTGAATGAAAAAACTAATTCTCCGCACTTTTCAACATAAAAAAGCTCTCTAGTGAATTTTCGTTATAGTTAGCCGTTTTTGAGATACTTCGATTTTAAGGTTCGATGCATTTTTAATTATTTATGATAAAATAACGTTAAAAAGTCAGTATCTCGATAATTTTTAGAAGTAGGCTGTGCCTGCAAATATTTTTGAAATTGAAAGCAGAATAAGGTTAAACGTCAATTAGTTGACAGTTAGTTTTGTTGTCTGTTGAAACCTGAAACGTTTTTTTGCAATTGTGAATGCACGAAATTTAGTTTCTTTTACCTGTCTTTTTTTGTAGGTTTTATAAAAATGCCATTTTTATTCTCCAATCAAGAGTTAGCGGATATTCATTTTGTGTATGGCTTTGTAAATGGAAATGCAGCAGAAGCAGCCAGAGAATATGCACGAAGATTTCCAAACAGACGACATCCAACTCGCTCAGTATTTGTAAGAGTGCATCGCCAAATAATTGAAAATGGTTTGGGAAATCTTCACGGGGATCAAAACATAAATGTTCGTCAGCGCAGATTTACCCATATGATTCTGCGTGAGTTTGATAGAGATCCGACCACAAGTGTTAGGAGAGTTTCTGATGCGTTGGGAATTTCAGCAGGCCATGTTCACAGTGTTCTTAGAAATGACCATAGACGACCTTACCATTTGCAACCTGTGCAAGGACTACAGCCAGGGGACGGAGAACGAAGAATCACATTTTGTCAGTGGATTCTTGATAGAACTGATAATAATAGGGAGTTTTTAAGTAACGTTTTATGGATCGATGAGTCATGCTTCACTAGACGTCGAGTGGTAAATTTTCATAATCAACATATTTGGTCGCATGAAAATCCGCATGCAGTTCGGGAAAGAAATTTTCAGCATGAATTTAGTGTGAACGTGTGGTTTCGTATCTACCGTAATCCACTATTTGGACCCTACCTTTTGCCTGCAAGGTTAAATGCTACGACCTTCTTGGAATTTTTAAAGGCTGAACACGCAAATATGTGGGGTGATGTTACGTTAGATTTAAGAAGATTGGCCTGGTTCCAGCTTGATGCTTGTCCGGCTCATTATTCGAGAATAGTTAGAAACTGGCTGGACGAAAATTATCCAGGAAGATGGATCGGCCGTGGAGTACCAGTCGCCTGGCCTCCACGATCCCCTGACCTAAATCCATTAGATTTCTTTGTGTGGGGATTTCATAAAGAAAAAGTGTACCAGATTCCCGTAACCACAAGGGATATGCTAATAGACAGAATCAGGAATGCATGTGATGAAATAAGGCCTTATTTGAATAATGCTATACCACGTTCGATCATTCGTAGATGTGAATTGTGTATTGAACAATTGGGTTTACATTTTGAGCAACTACTTTAGATTTTGTATGTTTGTCCTAACTATCCAGTAGCATTTTAGTTGTAAATAATTAGTTTAATTTGTTAAAAATAATATTGGAAAATTAAACAATTTAATATTCTGTTTTTTGTGTTTATTTGGAGTTAGGAATTATTGCTGTGTTTAAAAACACGATCTAAACGATCATCTTAATTACTTGTAATGCCCAAATCGAAAATGTGAAAAAAATATTATTTTCCCATAAATAATACAAAATGTATCGAACCTTAAAAATCGAAATATCTCAAAAACGGCTAACTATAACGAAAATTTACAGGAGATCTTTTTTATGTTGAAAAGTGCGGAGAATCAGTTTTTTCATTCAAAAAGCAAAAAATTGTACTAAGAAAAAATTTTCGGTCATTTTAATACACTACAGGTACAGTAGAGAGCGCCCTCTAGCGGCTACAGTAAAGCGATGCCCATGGTTCATTTTGTCGTGCCAAAAAAACCCTTGTATACCAATTTTCACTGTTATACATCAAATATTGATCGAAATATTTAAAAAAAACTATTTTAGAAAGTAAATTTAAACACCCTGTATTTCGGTAGCCACGCATTTTTCGACCCATCTTTATATAGACTTTATGCATTAATTTTAAAAGTTCTATAGAATCTTAAAGTTATGCAACAATAAACTGAAACACCCTGTATGTAGGAATATCTGTTTGATAGAATTTGCAGAATATTGGGGAATATAAAGCAAAGTGCCCCAAATCAGACCGCAAATTGTTATCGATTTGAAAATAAATGTGAAAACGAGCTAAGAGCATAATTGTCTTTAAAACTTGAAAGCTTGCATATCTCCCCAATTTGGAAATCACGTGTCAAAACTGGACATTTGGTACAAATTTTTAATCGCCAAGTAAAATTTCATTCTTAACCAAGAATAAGGAACATACTCATTCGAAGCAATTACATGAACATTATTAATAAACAGTAATAAAGAATATTATGTGTTGGGGGTCTCACTATATTTTTCGTAAGTACTTGCTCGTATCCTTGCTGAAGTAAAAACTGGGGCTCGATTAACAAATTTCAGAGAAAACGTATAAAAAGAATAAAAATCATTGAAATAAGACAGCAAACCGCCATATAAACTGCACAATTCTTAGTCCGGAATTGGAGACCTAGTGACCAAGTGGCTGCTGGATGGCGACGATGTGTAACAGATGTGGTCTTCTTACCATGAAGCAAACTAAATATGCTGCTTTCATCCTTTCAACAAAAGATTGCCAACCATGGACATATGTTTAGTGCTTTCTGTTAATATCTAGACAGGTCGAAGCGCGATCTACTACTACAGTCGACCATTGCGACGCGGGAATTAGAATCGTCTCCAAAACCGAGGACGACTACAGAAAGATAATTCGGCATTTCAGGGAACAATATATTGCCCATCATACCTTTCCTTTGCCATCGGAAAGAAATATACATGATGTCCTACGTGGTATCCCCGCGTCATTCAACGAGGAAGAGATAAAGCAGCAACTGGACCACAAAGAATACACCCTTCTCCATCTGATCAGATTAAAGCACGGTGGAGGCGCACTCATACAAGTTATTCAATGAAAAAGAACTATTGGGACTCTCAATTGAGGTTGAGGTTCAGAAGAATAATAAACTGATTGGCAAGTGTCACCGCTGTCAGAGATATGCCCAGTCTTACTGTACAGCGCCACCAAAATGTATAAAATGTGCTCAGGACCACATTTGTGCCCTCAAACAAGAGGTGCGCAAGTGGGCAAACTGCGGGTAGGGGCATCCTGCCAACAGTCCAACATGCAGGTTCACTCCTAAGAGAAACCTGTATGTTATAGCCGAAAGGCGCAATAAATCTTATGCTGAAATGACAGTCGGGCGTTCAGCTTCTGTCACATCAGCCACATCTCCTGCTTTGAACTCTTAACAGGTAGACCTAGCGACCGCGCTCAAGTCACTGCAACAAATTATTACTCCTCTGATAAACGCGATCTTTCCGCAGCCTATAGATGGCTAAGTATGAGAGACAGCCTGCTTTTCTCAAAATTATGTTTTGAAACTGTTGTGGTTGTCGCTAAGATACGAGAATTTCACCAGGCCCTTTTGGTCTATAGAGTGGCATTGCTGCAGCAAATATATATAAAACCCGGAGATCGCTTCGTCTTCACGAATTGTAATGTTATCCAAGCTGACAGGTTGAATAAGAGAGGTAGCGGCTTGGTTGTGCTTGTTAAGCATGGTATTGAATATTACAGAGGCACCAATGCTGGAATGCAAGGCGTTGAAGCTGCGTCTATGGTAGTCAATATGATGGGAGGCATTCCATTGAAAATCACAACAGTGTATGTGGCTTCAAGAAGCGGACCTGGAAATCCTCTTTGATTGCTCGGGTTCTCTGATTGTGGCAGGGGATTTCAACTGCAAGCACCATGCTTGGCATTCCAGGCTCAACACTGCTTGCGGTGTTTGCCTGTATAACTATGTGACGCGAAATGGATGCGTCATTCACAGCACTGATGAGCAGACATACCACCCCTTTAACTATCTGTAGGCACCAGATGTTACTGACTTCGCGATATCCAGAAACTGCGGTTTCCGTGTTTCTTGTAGAATTATGTCTGACATCTCAAGCGATCACCTTCCCGTTATTCTTGAGGTGGGCACTAAGGATACCTTGGACAGGGAAGCCTGAGTTTCCTAATATCCCGATTATAATTGACGGAAATGATATACATGCCGCTCAAGCAGAGTGGACCAGATCTATCAAACAAGCACTACAGCGGGCAGCAGTACTCCCTGTGCAACGGCCCGGTCGACCTTTCCTCCCTGTGGACATCCATCAGAAAATTTCTGACAAAAAAACTGCAATTAAGCAGACAAAAAGGTCTTGTCATCCTGATGACATCCGTGGAGCTACGAATCTTGTTCACGAAGTAAGAAACGCACTTCACGAATTCGGAAACGAGCAGTGGAACGACTTTCTTGGGGGAATGCTTCACAACGCTACTCCTCCTTGGAAAGTAGCGAATTTGCTCAAAAATGGCAAAGGGGAACAACTTCCGAACATCCAAGACCCTGAAGGCATAGTCTTCAGGGCTGAGGATAAAGCGAGAGTTTATGCCGATATCATGATAACAATTATGGACGAGGAGTAAGACATTTTAAGATCTGTTAGGAGGTATTTTGCCGTCAATGACGTCAGTGACAGCATTGCTGGAACTGGTGGATCCTCTCGAAGGATTCCTCTTCGGAAGATTCTTCAACAGAAGCTCTGCATGGCACACCAACAGAGTCATCAGTAATTCCGTATTACACACCAGCAGAGCTTAAAGGTCATAAGGTGTGCAAGGCACTTGGAGAAGATCAGATCACCACGAAAGCGCTGAAGCTGTTGTCGCCACAGGCAGTGACATATTTGGCAACAATAATCAATGCAATGCTCAGGATCCAATAATTCGCAGATGCGTGGGAGGTCGCTGATGTCTTCATGATCCCAAAGAAGGTCGGTTCAATATTTCCGCAAGATTATCGCCTCATTAGTCTGCTGTCTGCTCCTTAAAGCTGGCCGAAAAGATGATTTATGTCAAAATTGACAATATATTTTCTACAACACAGCGCATTCGGGCCGGCGTTCCGCAAGGATCGGTCTTAGGACCACTCTTATACTCGATTTTCATCCAAGCGACTCTGAAGTCTACCTCTATGCCGACGACACTGCATTAGTAGCTCAGCCATGATCTCGTGGCATAGTCCATGACAGGCTACAGGAAGCGGTGGGCGGGGTTTTAGGGCGTCCGAATCGGTGGCTAAACAATATTAATTTTTGAAAGACACAGTCTATCTATTTTACAAAAAATTGCCGTGGTGCCCCGTCGGAGATTACTGAAGATGACGCTTTGATACAATGGGCTAACACGGCCAAATATTTAGGTCAGACACTAGACAATGGTATTGCTTGGCAGACACACATTGAACTTCTGAAAATTAAATTCCAAATTACATTTCGGCAACTGTATCCTCTTTTATGTAGAATCTCAAATTGAGTTTGGTCAGAAGCAAGGACGGGTAGTAGTATCAACTTTTGGTTTGGCAATGTCAATCATGCGTTTTTAGAATTCGAATTAAAAACCCCCATTCATCTAAGCAGAAATCTGATACGACACCCTTGAGAAAAAGTTGAAGCTGGTGGACAAGAGGAAACGTCATATTGAAATTCTAATTATGCCATCTTGTAGAGGAGAACAAGTGGTAATGTCAGTGTGCAATATATTTTGAAACCCCACTACAAATAAAGTCAGGAAAAACGATTTTGGGAAAATTCGGTCTCTCCCGTCTCTCTTCGGAAGTACTCTGAATTTCGAAACTTTCTAAGCAGCATTTTGTTGATTCTCTCGATACGCAAGTTTGCCCCCATTTGAGCGACTCTTACTCTCTCTCTCTCTCTTACAGCTTCCGGGATCCTAATGGTGAGGGTCGAGTTTGAAACACCCAGTATACCTGTCAACTTTGGGTATCAGCATTGCTACGTCTCGCTCTTTTATAAGATTTCCTTTTCCGTTGTTAAAAACATGATGAGAATGAGAAATCTTAGAAAAATCACGATGGTGGTTGAAGGATGATTCTTATTTGAAAGGTTGATGATCAGATTTCGCTGGTTACTGGAGAATCTTGAAGGTGGTACTTGCGCTTGGTCACAATTTGTAGAAGTTTATGGGATAAGTTGGAGGTATTTTGATGACACATCGTTCTGTGCAGTTTGAACAAAATCTAGGCTTTGGTTCTTAAGATGGTCCATATAACATTTCCGTGGTATGTTGCTCGTATCGTTTCAGTTTTCGTGAAAAACAAATTATAGAAATGTTTATAAATCATCATAATAAACTTTGATACATTTGTGATTTACGTCGTATTGTTTTCCTATATTATTTCAGTTGGCAAAAGAAATAAATTGACGAGGAGCTTAAGAAACTGACCATTCAGACTTTCAATTTTGTTTCTATTAGTGTTAGGTGCGGTAATTGAGCTATCGTCTTTGATTACAGTGCTGGTGGTTTCTCTGAAAAAGGTGGACTCTAAATGTGATGTGAGGATAGATAAAAACACATCCAAGGAGATACATCTTTATTGACACTGTGATTATGTTATAGATCACACAACAATCGTGTGTATGAGCTAAAGTACCTGTATTTATGACTCCATAGTAAGTGCTCGAAGTAAAGTAATCGCTGAGAAAGCATTCTTGACTATCTGCAAAACAAATATAAGTATGTAGTTCATTAAACGTATTATACAGGGTGGCGCATCGAAAACGAAACAGACGCATTTACTGGCAGCTCAGTTTTTTTTTGAAAAACGCTCAGACCCGTCGATTTTGTTTTCGAGGGGGGCACAAGTTTGGAAAAAAATCACGTTAACACGTGCAGCCCCCTAAGCGGGGGTGACACCACCCCCAAAATCTTAAATGGAAAGGGGGGTCGAGTGAACCCTTATTTTAAAGGTCTTTCAATTTTCTTTATAATGACGTAAAATTAATGTACTTCAATTCAGCAGTTTTGAAGATTTATTGATTTAAGGCATAAATAAAACTAATACATCATCATTAGTGGAGATCAATACATTTGGCAGCAAAGTAATGTAAAAATGAAGAATGAACTGACCCGTTAGGCAAGTAAATGTTGAAAATGGCCACCATGACTCTCCATGCAATAATAAAGATTTTGCTTAAAACGTTGCCGCACATTTTGCAATATTTGAGGAGTAATTTGAGGGCACTCATTCACAATTCTTTGTCTCAGGTCTTCTAATGATGTTGGCTGAGTAGCATAGATTTTGCTTTTTAAATGACCCCACATAAAGAAATCCAAAGGTGATAAATGTGGCGATCTTGGGGGCCATTCAATGGCATCTCTTCTACCAATCCATCGATCTGGAAACGTCTGATCTAAATATTGTCGAACACGTAATGCGTAATGTGGTGGGGCACCATCCTGTTGGAACATCAACCTATTCGCAATGTACCGCCGATCATTCTGATTTTCAATTATTATGGCTGCAGGATCTACGGCGCCTTCCAGTAATTCCAAATACACTTCACCGGTCAAATTTCCAGGTAAGAAAAAAGGACCAACTAAATGATCGCTAAAGATACCAGCCCAAACATTTAATTTTTGTGGCTGCTGTGTATGAACCTCATGATAAATTCTGGGATTAGAATCGGACCAATACCGGCAGTTATGACGATTTACTACGCCATTTAAGAAAAAAGAACATCAGTCGGAAAAGCAAGTGTTGAATAGAAAATGTTGATCGTTTATAATTCGTTCACTCATATCTTCAGAGAATTGTAATCGCCGATCAAAATCGTCTTCATTAAGTTCTTGTACCAGGTGAATTTTATACGGATGAAAACTATAGGCCTTTAAAATCCGTTGGACAGTACGTCGACCAACACCACACACAGTCTCCAATTTGCGGGTACTTAACGTGGGATCTACATAAACTTGCCCTAAAACCCCCACTTCTATTGCTTCGTTCCTTATGGGATTTTCAATGTTGCGTTGGCGACTGACCGTTTCCCGAACATATTTTCGATGCACGTTACTGTTCTCATGTCGCTCATTAAATATTTCTGCTGTTCTATTAGCGCACTGATTATTTCCAAAAAATATTTCGATATTTTCAACTCTTTCTGCTGTGGAATATACCATGGTTAATTTATGTAATAAAGCGTTACAAGTTATTTTAGCAACAAAGTTTGGTCAAATCAATCGCAAACTATGTACTAAATTCCTATTTAGAATAAGTACGAGATACTTCCTTATCTTTCTTCAAGAAATAACTTTTTTGCCACAAAAAAACCCTCCAATAGCTATTTTTAACAACAAAATGATAAACAAACCATGGGCGTAGTGAAGAAATGCATTTAGGGTAAAATCGGGCAAAAGGGATATAGTGGGCAAAAGGAATCAGCTAAATAAATGAAAACAGCTTAATCACAGAAACCTGACAACGCTGTTTAACACTTCGCTGAGTATGGCACAAATTCATGCGCAACGCGTTCCCTCGTGCTAAAGTTTTTACCTCATATTTTTTAAGGTGTTCTAATTAATTACGTCTTGAATAGTTGTTCAAAGGATTTTTGAAGAAGGGTAAGTAGTGACTCAGCCATTTATTCAAAACGATTTAGTTAATAATCGAAAGATTGGCACTTCTACTTTTCTACCTAACCTTGAAAATATGTCCATTGTTGCCAGCGTCTCGTAAATTTTTATTTCCTTTGTGACAGTGCATTTCGGGCAAGAGGAATCAGGCAAAAGGGATCATGATTCCTTTTGCCCGTATATCAATTTTCGATTTTCATGTAGGTATGTAATTTTCGCTTCTTTTCTAGATCCTGAGTTAAGCTTACGGACACCTGAGCCGACCAGTGTTGCACGAGCCAGTGGCTTTAATCGCTCACAAGTGGAGAGGTTTTTCGAAAATTTGAGGGACGTCATCGAGAAAAACAATATTTTGCCTGAAAATATGTACAATGTAGATGAGACAGGGATCCAAACCTCTACAAATAGGCCTCCTAAGGTTATTTTCCTGAAAGGCAAAAAGGGAGTTGGAGCTATATCTTCCTCCGAGCGAGGCACACTAGTAACGGCACTGTTTTGTTGTTCCGCTGCTGGGGCATATATTCCTCCTACACTAGTTTTCCCAAGGAAAAAGAAAAATCCAAGGTACATGGAAGGAACTCCACCAGGCTCTTCTCAGTTAGTAACTGATTCTGGATGGATAAGTTCCGAAGCTTTCCTGGAGTGGATGAAGTTTTTTGTAAGCAACGTTAGACCAAATGAAGACCATAAATGTCTATTAATCTTAGACAATCATGCTTCTCATAGGTCTATTGATGTACTTGATTATGCCTCTCAGAATAATGTCATCATTTTGTCGGTTCCACCCCACACGACACACAAGCTCCAGCCGCTAGATGTGTCCGTTTATGGCCCTTTCGGAACTTATTTCCAAAATGAAATTGACAAGTGGCAAAAAGCGCATCCTGCACAACGCGTTACGTTGTTTGATGTAGGCAAAATTTTTAATAATGCCTACCTTAAAGCTGCAACGCCAACAAACGCTATAAAAGGTTTAAAAAAAACTGGCATTGCAACATGTGATTTAGATGTTTTTTCCGAAGTGGACTTCCTTCCAGCAGATGTAACTAACATTGAAGAACCAGAGATCCGTATTAACCATAATCCTCAAGATATGGATGTTATTGAAATTGGACCGCCCAATACATCTGCTCATAATGATATCGCAAAACCTGAACCTTCTGGTCTCAATAATAGTACGACCTTAAGACAAGCTAGTGACGCTCCAAAAGGAAATAATCGCATTAAAATTATTGATATTCATATTATACCTAAATGTGATAAACGAAAAGAACCCAAAACAAAAAGGAATCAACAGAAATCAGAGATTTTGACTTCTACGCCAATTAAAGAAGAAATTAGAGAAAAAAGTAAGAGCAAAGAATGTGTCAAAAGCGTTAGAAGGAAGATCCAGCAAGAGACAGATTCCAGCAAACTGAAAATACCTCGTCCACCTTCACCACAGAAAACCGCTCCAGATGAAGAAGAAACTCCATGTTTGATATGTGACGATTCCTTTGAAAACTCCATTCCAGGCGAACACTGGATACAGTGCAATTTCTGTGAGAAGTGGGCACATCAGACATGCACAAGCTACAAGACTGGAATTTATATTTGTCAAGATTGTCAAAATCAGGTCAAAGATCAGAGAACATAATTGAGTTAAGAATAATTATAGAATACCTTTTTTAGTTTCTACTAATAATAGTTTTTTTTATTTTATATATATCAAGATTAATAAAATCAGGTTAAAGATTAGAGAAAATAATTAGGTTAAGAGAATAATTATTGTAAGAGTTACCATTTTCAGTTTTCCTTAATGATAATATATATTTTTCTATTTTCCATATTATATTTTTTATTTTGAATCCTTTTGCCCTCACCTGTGATTCCTTTTACCCTAGAGGGTCGGGCAAATAGAATCAAATACAGTCTTTAATAATTTAGGCCGTAACTTGCTCAAACTATATTGTAAAGTTAAAATAGTAGTGTTTAATGTTTCTGAAATAATTAAAATCCACATAAAAGTATTCAGATAGATCATTTTTTAATAATTTCGTGCTATGAATTGGCACTCTCCGAAAGTGATTCCGGCTGCCCGTGTCTCCAATACTTATTAAGTAAATTCTTTTAGTCAAATTTCTTCTGAAAGTAGTCCAAACTAATCTGATGTACCTATTAAAGTCTACTTTAAGCTTTAAGTCAATAAATCTTCAAAACTACTGAACTGAAGCTCATGTATTGTACATCATTATAAAGGGAATTGAAAGAGCTTTAAAATAAGGTATCATTCGACCCCCCTTTCCATTTAAGATTTTAGGGTTGGTGTGATCCCCGTCCAGGGGGCTGCACGTGTTAACGTGATTTTTTGCCAATCTTGTGCCTCCCTCGAAAACAAAATCGACGGGTCTGAGCGTTTTTCAAAAAAAAAACTGAGCTGCGAGTAAGTGCGTCTGTTTCGTTTTCGATGCGCCACCCTGTATACCAGACATATGTAGGTAAAGCAGATAACCCAGATGGATTTTCTTAGTATTCTGTTTCCGAGGTATACAAAAACTACAAGTAACTAAATTCCCTATACACACTGCTGGTACGAAGTGTTTCTAAAATATCTATATTGTTATCGTTACATGTTCATGTTTAGACAAATATCTTTTTGTTTATGTCTATCTGTGAAATATCTCATCTTTTAGATATAATCCTGTTATTAGACCACAATCTTCGGTGCTGATACTCCATTGTTACAAAACCCACAAATTTGATCTACATTCAGCGACTTCATCATTAGAGAAGGCAAGGAAGCGTTCTCAAACGGATTCGCTTTCAGATAAGAACCGAAATGAAGGAGTCGCCTTAGTTTAAAAAGGGGAAATGAAACTTAGCTAGTTTTTCTTTTAATTTTATAAAGTGTACCGCCAAGCATTTGATGTTCTTGTGATAAGAAAGAACCGGAGGGAGCAACTTAATGGAAGTGCCAATTATATCAGGCAGAGTCTTGGTTATTAAGTTAAAAGCTGCTTGAACTACAAATTGCTGGCGCTGCTACGTTTACAGTTTTTGGTCTGGAAGCGGAAATACATCTAATCCAGGCGAAATAGTTCAGTTTACTGAGCTCAACGAATTCAAAGTAGATAGAAAGAATTGTTTGTCTCCAAAATCTAAGTTTGTAGTCAGAATGAAAGTGTGTACTGCAAGTGGACTTAACATAAGTAAATAATAATGATGCCTTTATTAACTGCAGCGAGGCGAAGTTTAGCCAGACGGCTACTCTTACACTCAACCCCACAACAGGAAAAAATAATACTTAAACACATAAGCAAAATGATAAAATACAAAAAAAAAATATACAACTCATAAGAATGACAACATTGATTGCACAAGACAAATGCAGATAGTATTGCGAGAGTTTTAAATTTGAAACAAAAAATAGTAGAAAATAGTCGAACAAAAAAAAATTAAAAAAAAATCACACGAGCACAAGAAAAACTGAACTAAATGGACTCCAGCAGCTGACTTTTCATTAATTTCTTAAAAGAAATAACCTGTTTGGATCGATAGCTACTGTTGACTGCATTGTAATGCTTGACAGCATTATAGGTGTAACTTCTTTCAAAGACCGACGTATTGTGAGGAGGCATGTTAAAATTAGCATTAAATCTAAGAGCTCTGGTAACAAAACTACCTCGGTGAACTTATTTGCTAGCGAGGTAAGCTGGTCTGTTAGATAGTAGAACTTTGTGCGTGAAGACGGTCAAAAGATATAAAAATAACTTATCAATTCGCAACCAGTTGAGTTCTTTGATTTTATCTGAGACGCGACTAAACTTGCGCAATCCAAAAATAAACCTACAACAGCTGTTCTGAATTTTCTGAAGTTTCCTTTTGTGGACGTAGTCTAAACATGGGTAATACAGAACAAGAGAGTAAGAAATGACAGACAACACAAGACTTTCAGCGAGCTTTTTTCGGGTTTTAATATTCAAGATGTATCGATTGGAATAGAGGAGTTTCAAACGCAAATATGTTACTCTAGATAAGAAAGAGACATGCCGATCGAATCTCATATTTAAATCAATGGTAGCACCGAGATTCTTGGCGTAATGCACAAAAGGGATGAGTGTCTCATCCAAAAAAACACAAATCCTCTGCTTCATTTCACGGTAGGAGTTCTTCGAACAGTACAACATTGCAGTAGTTTTATTGGGATTGATCTTCAAGCAGTGTTTGTTACAGTAATCACCGATGTTAGCCAAATCTAAATTAACTTTAAAAGAAACTTCATCAACCTTTGATGGATCGAAACCAAACACTAACTGAGTATCATCTGCATAAGTTTGCATACTACAGTGGACTAAACAGTCTTGCAGATCGATCGTATAAATCAGATATAGTAAGGGACCTAACACTGGGCCCTGAGGAACTCCTGAAGGAACTGGCTCAGAGGAGGAAATTCCCTGATCAGTTTTCACTGTTTGTTGACGATTTAGCAAGTATGACTCAAAGAACCTTAGAACTATATCTGATATTCCATAATGAGATAACTTACTCAGCAGTATCTGGTGATTGACCATATCAAAGGCTTTCGAGAAATCTAACAGTACCAAGACGGTGTTGATGTGATTGTCTAAATTGTGAATGATGGAATCAGTAAGATGTAATAAAGACGAAGTAGTGCTGTAACCAGCTCTGAAACCTGACTGATGTACAGGAAATAAGTGATTTTGTTCGAAAAACTCCACTAGTTGTGAGTAGACAGCTCTCAGTATTTTTGATAGAAAGCATAATCAGGTAATTGGCCTGAGATCCGAATATTGTTCTGGATGATTAGCTTTAGCTATTGGAATAATAATACCATTTTTCCAACTGGCAGGAAAGTAACCTGTTTCGAGACAGACATTAATAATGTTAGTTATATGGTCTATGGTATCAGGCAAACATAAGCAAACCATATTTAAAGTTAGACTATCAGAGCCACATGCCGTAGACTTAATGTGAGAGATTATATTGACGATGTCTTGCTGAGTAAGGAGTTTAAAAGCAAACAGAGGTGCATCCGGTGTATGGCGTCTATCGCTATAAGAGTTAGAGACACTATCAATCAAATCTGGATCAGCTGCAGCTGTCTGAAAAATTGAAAGAAAATAATTATTTAAAATGTTAGGCTCAAGGAGACTGGGAGGTATCGCAACATGTTTCTGTGCTACCACATTCATCCTCCTCAGGTGTTTCCAAGCTTGACTAGAGTTAAGATTCCGGAAACGTGACATATATGCTTTTTTCTCTCTTCTAAGCGATGCAAGGGCATAATTTCTCAAATCTTTGTAGCTGGCCCAATTCTGATCAGATCTGTTATGCTGATAGACAGCGAATACCTCATCTCTGAGTTGAAAAATCATTTTCAAGTTAGGAGTGAGCCAGGGCGCAGCAGGTTTTGTGACACGTACTGTGCGTAGCGGAGCGTAGAGATCGAATAGATAAAGAAGACGGCCAGTAAAAATAGAGACTTTAATATCCACATCATTCACGAAATACATGTCATTAAGCTCTATTGATGCAATCTGCGTCTTAAAACTTTGAATATCAATGCTATTAAGATTTCTGTATGTTACAAATTTAGGCTCTATTTTTTTATAACAAAAATTATTTCGCAGTTCTCTCATCAAAGTCGTATTTTTAGTATTATTTTTAAAAATTACGAGAGTTAGTTGATTTCAAGACATAAACATAATTTGCAAAAAGCGGCGCACGCCTAATGGAGGTAGATCTTTGCAACGATAAAAAGTATTATTACGTTGATACAGCGTTGTCACTTTGGTAGGCAATGGCACTGAATTGAGTCAAAAGTATGCAATTTTGGCAACAAACAATGCAATGTAAACATACCGGATGCTTCAAATTCGACCCTCACCATTGGGATAACGGAAACGGCAAGCAACTCGACGTCGCTTAGATGGGACTTCAAAACAAATTGCACACAATTGCTACTTTTTCTCCTCTAGAAGATGGCATAATTAAAATTTCAATATGATGTTTCGTCTCTTGTCCTCCAGCTTTTCTCTTAAGGACGCCATATCGGATTTATGCTCAGATAGGGTTTTTAATTCCAAAAATCTTTAATATGCGAAACCTTAGTTATTGCAAATTAAACGGAACTTCCTGGACAAGCCTTGATTTATCGAAAAATTATTATTTTTTCCTGAATTTATATAAAATTGGGAATTCAAAATAAATTGCATGTTGTAATTGCCACTTTTTCCGACATGATGGCGTAATCAAATTTTCAACTCGAGGTTTCTTCTTTCGACTTCCATCATAAACTCTGTTTTTTCATATGGACACCGAGACGAATAAGGCCCTTAGGCCCGTATCGTCAGTCATCCCTACAATTGTAGGGTGCGTTTATGGCCTCCTTGATTGTCATACTCTTTTCTCTGCTTCAAAAATTTCTAGATTACACTCGTCCCGTGTCAGCATCAGCGCTCTCCTATTGTTAAGATATGTTTTCCTTTTAAATTGTAGGAAATTTCAGGCTGATAAAACATGATATAACTCAAAAGCATGCACAATTTGATGCAAATAGATGTTTGTGACATAACCTCAAAATAGAGCTCTGACACGAAGAAGTAGAAAACTATGATAATCAAGGAGGCCATAAACGCGCATTTATACAATTGTAGGGACGACTGACAATACGGGCCTAAGTAACCCATGATCTAACACTCTGTATAATAGGGGATTTACTGCTGACGTCACGGAATGGAAACAACTTTGATCTTTAGTTCAATGTGGGACATTTATACCCATTGTCTACGCACTAACTACATGGTAACGTAGACAATAGCGCCCATCGCTAGGTATTTCCCTTCAAGTCTTTATAGCTTTTTTTCTTGCGGTCGTTTATGAAAAGCCTCAACAATCTGTATTGTTTCATATTTTGGATATCAGATCGATGTAATCAGCCAATATCAACTATTAAAAGTACAATTTTGTCTGAGTGTCCATTACCACTGTATTTCATTAATTAATTGACCAGTGCAAAATCAACACACATGTTTTGATCTTGCATCAATTGTTTGATGCTCATCAAATTCTCGTTTAAAGACTAAATAGCGTGCGCTGTCATAATTTACAATTAGGAAAATGGCGTTAGATATACGTACCGATACCAATAACTCGTTATTTAGGTTGGCCATTCCCGCTGCGTTTATATTTATCCCTTTCTGTGAGTTGTACAGAATCAATGTTAAAGCTCTCTTGATTGGAGACATGAATAGGTTCCAATCACATTCAATTATAGCAACTAGGATGGATATGCTCTACAAAAAGATTATTATCCATAAAGAGTTTTTTGCCGCCTGGAGATAACTCACATTTCAAGTTGATCGTACCTATGAAATTTTTGCACCAAAATACTTCAGAAAATACGTATTTTAAGCATTCATCAACAACTTTTTTTCTTACTTTAGTAGCAAATTGTTCTTTAAATGCCAAGTTTTGGGATTTTTGTGCCAGATTCGCCCACTTTCCAATACCTAGCTTGCCTCATTCTTTATTCTTTATTCATATCCACATGACACAGTTTTGTATATGTAGCAAAAAATGTAGTACAAGACAATGAAGATCAACAACAAATACAGTAATGTCTGCTTATAACAAACCCGTTTATTGCGAACTTCCGTTGATAACGAACTAATTTATAAGGTACCAACTGAAATGATATTGAATGTGTGCTATTTTTCTAGCATATAACGAACCCGTTTATAATGAACCTCCTGATAAAACGAACCTAAATGCTTGATATATTCGTAAAATTTTTCGGTTATAACGAGCGTAAAACTGGATTTTACCAGAATCAAGTAACCGAAATCTTCCAACCGCGTGATGGGGTATGAGCAATCGTCAACGTCCGCCACCGCCATTTAGTCTGATACCTTCTTTATTCGTTGTATTCAGTGTCCTGCACTCTTGAAATCATTGGTGACGCAATTTCTAAGAAAACACGTAAAGCTCTTACTTTAAATAGTAAATACGATATTGAAAGATTGCAAGGAGGTGTGAAGCAAAGTGAAGTTTGTTGTAGCTGCTATATCTTCGGCAGTTGATACTGACGATGAAGAACAAAAGGAAAATAAAGATGAAGAATCTGTCAGAAGCACTTCGACAAATAAAGGGTGTCTCATAAATATTTTCTTATTTTATGCCATAAATAAAAATACTTAGAATATTTTTACAAAGATAAATTTATTACCAAACGAAAGCCTAAACATTAATTTTATTTATGGAAAAGAGTATCGGATAAATGAGCACCGTTCATGTTTTCACACTCTCTTAATCTCGAACTGAAGTTTTCGATCACTCTCCGAAGCATTGCTCGAGGAATGGCGTTTATTTCATCTGTTATTTTTTGCTTCAACTCTCTCAAATCTTGTGGCGGTGGGGTGTATACCTTACTCTTCAGGTATCCCCATAAGAAAAAATCTGCTGGTGTCAAATCGGGACTTCTCGGTGGCCAGTTAATGTCTCCTCTGCGACTGATGACCCTCTCTGGGAATAACTGATGAAGAGCATCCAAGGATTCATTCGTGACATGAGAAGTCGCTCCATCTTGCTGGAAAAACGTGTTTCTATTGTAGCCACCATGGTTCTGTATAGCTGGAGTTAAAAAAGTCCTAATCATGTGGCAGTAGCGCTCAGATGTTACAGTTTGAGCTTGGCGACGATTGTCTTCAAAAAAATACGGGCCAATGATTCCTTGCCCTGACATAGCAGCCCAGACGATAACTTTAGGCGAGTGTAATGGCGTCTCATGAAGATTTTGCGGGTTCTGCTCGGCCCAATATCGGCAGTTTTGTTTATTAACATGCCCGTTAATGTGAAAATTCGATTCATCAGAAAACCATATGTTGTTGTAACCGTTAAAATGCTCTCTCATTGTTCTACAGAACTCTAATCGATTAGCGGGATCTTGTGGTTTTAATTGTTGTGTGACAACAATCTTGTATGGGTGAAAATGCAAATCCTTGCGAATAATGCGATGAACAGTTGACTTATGCAAAGTTAGAGACGCTCCACGCAGTCTTAATGATTGCCTCGTTAACGGACTGGCGCACACGTTCAATATTTTCGTTCGATCTTGCTGACCTTGGCCGTCCAGGCGGTTTACTAATACACGTGTTTCCAGTGCTCTCGAACTTTCTTACCCAATATTTAATTAAATTTGCGCTTGGGACATCTCTCATTCTTGCTATGTTATAATGATTTTTGTACAAACGACGTACAAGCACATAAGAATCCTTGTTTTTATAGAACTCGCGAACACAAAAAGCACGTTGCGGCCCTGTAAAACGCTCCATTGCAACTAAAATTTAACAATGTTGCCAAACGTTTGTCAACTGTCTCGTTTCTCCGGAGCATGCGTATTCCGCCAGAGGACTGATCTAAAAACGAAAATATTTCTGAGACACCCTTTATGTCGATGTCAATAGACAGCGTTCGTCATTTCCTTCAGTCACGAAATATACCGCAGCGTGAGCTAGATCGACTAGCTGAAGCGGAATTACATATTAATGATATTCATTTCTCAAAAATAAACCAAACTAAAATAAATGAATTATTTAAGAAAGATTTTCAAAAACTTTATAAGTGTGGATTATAGATATTATTATATACTATCACAAACATTTTATACACCCCTGGTTGGATAATGAACTAATGAAAAATATTTTCTGGTATTAGCATTATTTATCGTTTATTACGAACTTCGCTTATAGCTAACCAGTTTCACCGGTCCCTTGAGGTTCGTTATAAGCGGACATTACTGTATTAATAAAAATGTAATTAATGAATTATTCTCGCCAAAGGGCGAAGGAAGTAAAATAAAAAGTTATCTTATCCAAAAAATGTGAATTTTGGACATCATGTTCAAACTGCGAACCTTGAGCTTTTAAGGACCAATCAAGGACTTAAACGAAACATATTCAAATGCAAAAATTTCATAAACGCGAGAATCTTCAAATTTGAGATATGTTCATGGCCAAAAAACTCCATCAAGAGACCTTAAGATAAATTACTGAAATAAGAAAAACAAAATGACGTGCCTGTTCTTTAAGCACAGTTGCAGGTATCGAGAAAACGGATAACTGTAACATGAAAGATTCTGTCAAAATAAATATGACAGCCGTTTTGATGAGGTCACTATGATCCTGTAACAAACAAGAAATGCGTCAGTTCTAGGACTAACATCGCCGAGTCAATATCACTATCTTTCAATCAATACGCTTACCAAAGTCAAGATGAACCCATTCACAACTAAAGCAAGGTAACTCATGATTAGTTGAGGTATAAGTACAACAGATCCATATTTTTCGAGGTTTAGGCCGAACCTACAATCGTATCGGAAAATATAAAAATAGCGTCAAGTAGACCGACTTCATGTAATTCTCTCCGCTACACTTAATATTCTAAAGAGGTTTGAGAATTTGTTTATATAATGAAATCTCTGAAGCTAATGAGCCGATTATGGAAATTCTTTCAACAGTAGAAAGCTATATTATTAATCCTGAACAACAGGCTGTATTGATTGTGACTAATAATATTTCTTAATGTGGAGTAACTATATTTGCTAAGGGCAGAGAATCGCGAACGTTCAGTCGCTGACACATAACAATCGGCCACTCACCTATAAAAAATATAGCGTCGAAGCGACAAACGCACTCGTTGTTCTCGATTGCTTTCTTATTTCAATTGTCTTACTGCTCAGTTTTTTTCACATGTACGTAATAGTGTCACCATGAAACGATTCCGCGAATTGAAGGAACGAACTGATTTCACAGAATACTAGTCAAGTCAAACAGTATAAGTCGGTTGTCACAGTGCGTAATATTGAAGGTGCAGTGCACTATATAGAAGGATTTTTAAATTCCTTGAGCCCTGCCGCGCTACCAGCTCACGATGTTTATGTTAAACCTCGGTATTCCTATCATGCTGTTAGGAAACTTGAGCCCTCTCAACTTGTGTAATGGTACAAGGCTCCTGATAAAAGAGTTGCGGGGCAATATAATCGTGGCGTCCATCCTCAAGGGGCCACCAGTGTCTTGTTTATATTATATATTTGTGAATGTCGTTCAAAAGGCTGTAGGTTCTAGCCAAAGTTACATTTGCCCTCACGATAAATAAGTCCCTGGGTCAAACATTCTGTCTGGTGGGCATTGACTTAAGAAAGGTGGAGGAGTTATCTGTTTGCTCCTCTCGAGCTGGAGCTCGGGAAACCAATACATCTGCTGCCAGATAGGTATACATGAAGCATACGGAGAAGTCCTAAACAGTTAACATACTCGCCCAACATATACTTTCTGGCGCCAAGAAATAAAATAAACATAGAATAAGTCCTGAACACACCGTACTAAGACCACACAAGATATTGAGCTGCATTCATAAAAGAGAAGCATATCCTCGGAAGCATAAGGTAAAAGTCTTGCTTCGGAGAAAAAGGTAGAAGTATAAGCATATCCTTGTTTTCATATTCATAATGATTACCTTATACTCGCGAGGACATTCTCCAAGAAGGTTGACTGGTATTTGTATCTTGAGCGACATGTACTGACTTGTTCCAGCTTGTAGTTGACGTGGGAGTTCGTTCACTCAGCATCACTGACATTTGTACTCCAGAGCTTACACTGACCGTACCGTATTTTTACTGGATACAGTTTTTTACCAAATTAATAAGCATATCATGCTCAAGTGATGAGGAAGCTATAGAAAATAATGGCGATGACCTGCAGTTCATCGCAGATGAAATTACCATTGCTCCCATTATTTTGCAAAGGTCACAAGTTCCAAAAATAAAAATGAGAAAGGAAGATGCCTTGAAGAGGATGTTGAAAAAATACGAATCAGCATTCGGTAAACCATTAGATACTAAAGGCTTATTAAAAAAAATCAACAACAGATCTAAAAAGAACTGGTAATAAAGCAATTAAATTGTTAGATTGGGAAAGAAAGTTGCTGAAAGCTATGGAAGGTGACTGTAATCGTACAATTGGGAAAATTAGAGGTTTGTAGTGTTCAAGAAGAAGGAAGTGAACTATACACCGAGCGCAGTGAGCAAACAGTTAGTATTACAGCGCCAGCAATTCAGAAGACATTGCCACCAAAAAGAAAATTAGCAATAGAGAAATACGAAACTGAGGAAACCGAAGGATTAACTACAAAAGAACTGCAACGTCTAGTGCTATTACAGCAGTACCAAACAAGTATTTTACAACAAGAGTATTATAAAATGAAATTAGAAATGATGCAGCGTCAGAAGCCACCTGTAACTTATGAAGTTCACGAAAATAAAACTTATTATAACTTAATAAACACTTTAATCAGTAAAATTATTTATTATAATACTCAAGTTTCTTCTTATTTGTTGACCTAGTTGGCAGAGAGGAAGTTCGTCATTCTCATGATTTTCTTCATCTTCATTTGGGTCTTGTTCAACTAACTCAAAGTCAGGATCGTCCAAGCTCTTCGCAACATTATGGAGTACAATACAAGCAAAAATTATTTTCGGCACATTTTCCAACTTTACGCGGCAAACATACTGTAGGACCGGAAACCAGTTGGCCGAAACAGCGTTCAATTATAACTCTTTCTTGCTTTAAAAGCTTATTATAATTTATTTCTGCACCTGGAGTAGGATTTCTGAAGGGAGTCATAAGGCATGGCCAGGTAGTACAACATTTGCTTTATTTATTAGTTGTGATCTAGTCTGTGAATTTCTCAATATTCTGGAATCATGCACTGAGCCAGGCCAACTGACATCAACACTTATGAACATCCCTCTGGCATCACAAGTGGCTTGCACATTTAAAGTAGGTTTCCCTTTTCAGTTGATATACTCATCTCCATAGCGATTTGGTTTCAGGATTCCTATATGTGTACAATCAGTTACACCAATTGCTATCGGAAATTTATACATGCTTTGCCATATCCGCTTGGCCTCCATCAGTTCATGGTTGGTAGTTGGAAACTTGATCCATTCGTTCGACTGGGCAACTATGTTTTTCACAACTCTATCCATAGTCCGAGATACCGTTGCTTGACTAACACCAAGTTCCTGACCAATAGCTTGTTGATATCCAGGGTCACCGAGCTAGAGTAGACACATCTTCATTTTATGATTACATGAAAGTGCTCCTCCTCGAGTTTCCTCATTCTGAACCAACAATCTATCCGCAAGCCATTGTATATTTGCTTCGTCAAACTGATATAATTTTTTGAAGTCTCGACCAAGTGAAGGTAAACGAGGTTTGTACGTTTTAACATCCCTAACATCCACAATTTCCGTCATCATCATTTGACCACCTTTCGTTACGAAGTTGAGTCTGCTACTGACCACACTCAGAATTTTTCAAGGATATTCTTCCTATGCCAAGTATAAGGTGAAAATTATGAATATCATTCTACTTATCTCACTGCTTTGAAGGATATGCTTATACTCAAAAAGCAAAAGCATTTACTTCAAATTATTATAAATACTATCTGGAGGATTTCCTTCAAAATTTGCAAGTACAAGCATATCCTTTGTTTTATGAATACGGCTCAATTTCATCACAAACAAAAGTTAGTATGAAATTCTGACTAAAGCGTTTGTTAAACAAATCTCCGTTAAATTTATTTAACTAAAATTACCAATAAGTAACTCACTCCAAAAGTTTATTATGGTGTTCGACGCAAACCTTCAACCTGTCCATAACTTTTTTCTGAAAGTATTGAGACTGGAATCTATCTAAGTCTGAAGCATCTTCCATGATCCCTGTACTGAGGTTTTTCAGGAGTTCTTTGAGTAACTCAAACTGGACGTAAAGATGCACCAAGCAGTAGATATACAATGCATCGTAAAATGCGTTGCCGAACAATGAAAGGAATAGGTTCCAGATCATGTAAACGTAGAGGATCTCGTGAAGTGGACTCGGATTGGTGTCGAACGGTGTCCAGATTATGTTCGGCAATGGTCTCATACCTTCAAAGATTAATTCCAGTGAACATCACTCTGTCCTAATGCGATCCAACTGTATGTCTCTAACCATTATATTAACGTATTCTGCCTGATGAAGATAGTCAACTAAGGTGTCCTAAAGGCTGAGACTTTCTTTTTCAGACACAACTACATTTGAAATAACAAAGGCGATTTGTTGTAAAACAGAACTGAAAACGTAAAATAGGTATATTAAATAAAAATATTCACTATTTATTTGGAACGGCATTTCAACTACTGTCCTGTCACATGTTTTGTTTATAATTACGGCTCGAAGTTGTCGCCATTCAATTCAAGAGTACGAGTTTGTTTACCCCTTCCCAACTGTGCAACATTTGGGGCAGTCTAGGTCTTCCACTGTGTCCACCCAGACGGCTTTTGCACGATATAAACAAACCTATGCCGCTCTGATGGAAATATCGAGGTCAACGCCGATGTTCTGAATACTCAAATACACTCCCGGAGTATAAAGGATGTTGAAAACGCTCATAGTAAACATCAAATCGATGACACGTTATTACTGTATGAATGTTTCCAATGCGTTGTTTATAAGCTAATTTAACCCACGGATTGTACGGCGCCTTATTTTAATACTGAATAGTGGTAGTCTCACAAAACATCATACCCTTTGACCTACGAAGGGAGGGCTTATTTAGTTTTTCGGAATTTAATATCTCGGTTACCTTAAGGCTTTGGTACACGAGTATGTGTTACAAGGAAAACTTGATTGCTATTGCCTGACCTATACGCTCTATAAAGAAAAGTTCCGAGTTTGTGGAGACTGTATATTGTACTCCGGCCTCCAATCAGGGATCCGGACAATACCAGCGCCATCTATGAGGCAGTGTAGCAGAGCACAATAATGAATTTAGAAATCGACGTTGAGAATAGAGTGTTTGGTTCTACTACTGTCTCATAGATGGGGTTAGGATCTTCAATCTCTCTAATGCCTATTTTAATTGGATATCTTTAGGTGGAATACGTTAATCAACGTCTGAAAATACCCAATTAAAATAGGCATTAGAGAGGAGATTCATTTTTGAGTTATGTTGCTGTCTCACAGATGCCACTAGCAACCTCGTTGGTCATCTTCAGGTAGTATACGTTAATCAATCGTCTAACACTAATTTCGCTGAAATTACCTTCTGGGACGTCCACTATAGGAAAGCGTATGGTTACCGTGAGACAAACACAGGAAGTGGTAAAATGTATCAAAATGAGTCTGTTGGTAAAACTGAACGCCTCTTGTAGATTCTTGTGAAGTTGTGGACCCACTATATTTGTATCCCAGAATTCGTTTTTGATGGTATCAAAGAAATACTGCACACGTTTTCTATCAACGTATAGGTAAATTAACTTTACAACAGCCTAAAATACATTCAGTTATAACAATAGTGTTCTTATCCTTGTTCTGTTCATTTGAATAAATTCAGATTATTGTTTCATCTAAAATTTTTGGAAAATTTGCTCTATAGATGTGGTAAATAAACAATACACAATATTTGGACCACAGTATTTTTGTACGGTGCAGAGCCTAGTAAAAATATTTCCGAAATAACTTACCATGAATCGTATGGGATAAGTAGCAACTAAATCTGCGAGACGTTTCGTGTCTTTCAGATTTTGGAAAAAATAGACCGTTCTTCCGGCCAAAATAAACACCTTTAGTATAGTGACTATTGGCCAGATATACCTTTTTGGTCCTTTGAATCCATAGATTTGTAGACATTTTTTCATCTTTTCCATTGGATCTTCTGAATGTAGAATTCAAAGAATACAAGCGATATTAGTTATTAAAGTAGTAAAACCGTTTATTCGCAAATGCTTTTGAAATTTTTCAAAATTAAAAAAAATAGCGTCAAGTAGACTGACTTTGTACTTCCCACGCCGTTATCCGTTCATAAATTATTATGTTCAGCACAAACTAATAGATCCTCTGAGAAAAGAGTCAGTCAGACAGCTCCTTATAATTAGTCGATTGACAACTATGTTTGCCCTACCGGTAGTCCATCTGGCAACGCCTCTCCTCGGTCAGAGATGGCAGCGCGACAACAGCATGGGAAACAGTATGCGCAGCAGTAGTACCTACATGTAATACAAGAACGCTAACCAAGTCCGGCAGACCGACACGGGTATTAACGTATAGTATCTTGAGAAGTGGCATTATGTCGATTTTTTTGACATTATATTTTTTTTGGGACATTATGTAGGTTTGCCTACAAGATGATAACTTAGCACTAGCTGATGGACAGGTTGTGAAGTCGTTTTGTAGTTGTACGTGTTGCCTAAACGTCATGAGGCTTCAGTTAACAATTTCTGGCTCTGACGTGATGTAACATCTGCTTCAGAGATGGCATCACTGGAGGCAACGACAATGCATAGTGAGGATTTGTGTACTAATAATATATGTTGATGATAGTTCCTTGGATTCTTGTGTCAAATACACTTACTTGAGATTCAAAGCTAGAAATTAGTTGCGCATCCAGTTTTTCTCATCCATTCTGGAAATTACATAGGTATGCAAATTTGATGAATTTCAAATATGAGAGAGATAAGAAATAATTATATTCACTGTACACTGTCGAATTACAAGTCATATACAGTAACTACAGACAACGCGGGCTCTGTGATTTCCCGTAATTCTCCTCAAAGTTTTTGAAAATACAAAAATGTAAGAAATCGTAATTTATAACTTTGAAAATAACCTGTCTTCAGAAAGGACAACATATAAATACCCCGTCGCCTAGTCGGGCACAACTAATAGATATACTTTACTGGCAGCATATTCAGTAATGATTTTCACACATAGCATATATCACTGATTTTATACACATGCAGACCAATACATACAATTATCCAGATGCGATCTTGCTATTCAACCAACTTTCTTCTCATAGATGAAAAATGTAGACTACTCGGCTTCACAAAACACATGCAACCAACAATGCGTGTAGACATGTATACTTTATCTGAAGTCACTTGAAACACTGTGAAATACCGGGTGCGTTTTATATATCTATATTTAACACGCTCTGTTGCTGCAAAAATCGCCAAATTTCGCAGCAAATATAGTATAAGATCAAAGGCAGTTTCACCGGTCCACGTGGAGTAAAGCTCGCCTATGCGTGGACATAGCCAATGAGAAAGCGTGTATTTCAGAGCTCCGAACGAGTGCAGGTGGCTACTGAAAATTGAAACAGTTTAGCAAGTGCCGTGTAGCGGTGAATAAACGTGTTTTCTTTAGTCTGCCCGTGTTTTTTCATAGATTTTATTAGTTTGTGTGTTTTTGACTTTTGAATACTCAGTTTACTTGTTGTGTTGATTGTTCTTGTGTGTCCTAAATATGACTCTTTGGAGACCTTGGGAAAATGCTCCAAGCCACGAGGAGATGGTTGATGAACCTGTGCAGGCAGAATTCTTTCATAAAGATTTAGAGGAACAGACCCAAAAAGTAATCCTAAATATGTATGATTGTCTGAAAAACGAAAATCCAGATTCCTCGCAAAATCAAATTTTAAACAGAATTTGTATCCTGACAAAAATCAGTCGGTCTAGCATTTATCGGGTTATAAAAAGGGGAGATGTAGTCAACCATTCCTTCCACAGAAAGCGCATAGGGCAAAAATTAAAAAGAATAGACATGGGTTTTCAGGAAGATATTCGTCGTATAATATACGGATTTTATAAAGAAAATTTGGTGCCCACGTTGGAAATGATACGGGATAAATTAAAAGATTATCCTGAAGATTTTTATAATTACAAATGCTTAGACTCACTGCACTGTATTGTAAAACTGTGTGGTTTTCAATACAAAAAATTAGATAAAAGAATGGTGATTATGGAGTCGTCTCGAATCGTTGAATTACGCCAAGAATTTTTGCATAAAGTTAAAATCTATAGAGAGCAGAAAAGAAATCTGATTTACCTGGATGAAACGTGGTATGATACCCATGATGTTGTGCAGTACGGCTGGGTTGACGACAGCAACAAGTGCATTTTAAATGCACCATGCAACCGTGGAAAATGAATCATTATTCTCCATGCTGGCAGTGAAAATGGATTTATACCTAATGCCTTGCTGTTATCTGCCAAAAATATCAAAGAATCATGTGCCGACTATCATGAGGACATGACCTCCGACTTATTTGAAAAGTGGATAGAGCAGCAGTTAATACCAAACATTTCCCCAAATTCAGTGATTATTATGGACAATGCGCCATACCATTCCCGACAGAAAAACAAAATTCCGAATACAGGCACAAAAAAACAAGACATTATTGATTTTATGAAGGATAAGGGAATGGAAATACCACAAAAATCAACCAAAGCCATATTATTGGATCTTATTAAAAGACAAAAATTTGAAAAAGAGTATGTTGTTGACAATCTGATTCAGCAAAATGGCCATGAAGTATTACGTCTACCTCCCTGTTACTGCATTTTTAGCCCGATTGAGTTGGTCTGGGCTGCTTTAAAAAAAAGTAAGAAAACATAATCAGACCCCTCAATTAAGTGAATCGCTATTGGCCACAATAAGAGATGCAGTATCTCATATTGCTGCCACAGACCTATGGAAGCAGTGTTCTAGGCATATTATTGAAAAAGAAAATGAATATTGTGTTTTGCCTCCTGTAAGTCCCGTTGTAATTCCTCTACAAGATGACTCTAGCGACAGCTCCGAAGGCGAGGATGATATATAAATACCTATAATGTAAGTCTTTATATACCTTTTTATATACCTACCTGCTATGTAAATATTTGCCTATGTCAAACGTTGGAATTCTGTAATTTTTCCATTTCTTAACTTTCAGTCAACATAAATTAAACTCCCAATATAAGTATTTTTTATCCCAAATCAAAAAAATAAGAAGATAGTAAAATCCATTTATTGTGATATAAAAACATTATTATTATCGTTCTAAATAAATTTCCGCACGCCTATGATGTCATGAAATTACAAAGGACGCGCCGACCAAAGGTTTTTATGCTATTTCAAGTGACTTCAGATATACCATAATTGAGCCATTCCTATATAGATTGACAGTCACAACGATCCTAGGGAGCAAACGTGGAATGACTGTTTGCACCCTAAAAACTAGCTAGTCTGCAAGATCGCAAGGTGACATTTTTTTAGGTTTTTTTTGACGTTTTATAGTTTTTTTTTCACATAATACCCGTGCCGACCGGTAGGTACGCGATCCATCTGCTACGAATATTTTCAACAGCTAATGTACGGAGAAATCTATGTGTGAAATATGTCTAATAGGTGCGTAGGATTACTAATGTATACTAACATAAAAAATTGAGATATACCCTCGCCACACTCTGCCGACACTAGACCGATTTTCAAAAATTACGAAGCTTTTTCGCCCTTGATATAGTAGCAACATTGAGTTAAAATTTCATCAAAATCCGAGCGGTACTTCTCAAGTTATAGGCGTTTATAGGGTTAGCGGACAAACAGTCAGACGGGAGTGAGACGGTTTTCCGTAATGTACTTGCCATATAACATCCAAAAATATGATTTCTCGCTTTAGCAAATTTTCACGATTACAATACAATACCTCCAGTGCATCACAGTGTATACTTACGTTCAATTTTGAATTCATGCCGTTTTGGAAAAACCACGTTAGGATTTTTTTCGTTTTCCATTGCCCCTACAGTATGAATGTCTGCATACTAAGCTTTTGGTTTATATACGCCACTTCTATTATTTTTGCATACTCATTTTATACAGGGTATACTTATTTTGAATATATGTCATCAGGACACTCCCATTATGGGATATATTTGCATGAAATGGTTTAATTTTTTATAAACTAACCAATGGCTTTAAAATCAGAAATTACCATGTACAGGCTGGTTATTGAGAGTCGATACCAGTTTTTGAATGGATACAAAATCAATATGAAGTACAAAAGCACTTGAACAGATTCATCAATACGAATAAAGGGTTTGAATATGTGAATTCCATTTATTAAATCAAACAGTACTCGTATTTCCAAATATCACTATTTATTGAAAAATTAATATATAAAGTTAAATAATACATAGAAAAATATTAAATACCTATGTTCCAGGTATTACCCCATATGTACAAAAAAATCGTAATATCACTGATAACAATTTACTTTCATACGTAACTTTAAGTAGTGAGATCATTACTTGTAGTTACTTAATGTAACTTCACAATTATCATAGCTTCATTTTTTTAAACGAGTTCACAGTATGAGGAAAACTAGCTGATTTATACATCGAGAAAGAGAGATAGCAAGCCAGAATTTTTATGTTTAAGCAGGCAACAGATCGAAATCATCTGAAACGTGAACCATGGGCACATGAGTATCTTCAATCTTCGGAGTTGACTTGCGATCGCACAGGCTCAGCTCCTTCATTTTCCATTCCCAGTCCATTTTTTGAACTGCATGTAAGGACTCTGCCTCGTTGTGATGCCTCAGCAACATGTGTTCTTTGATCTTCTCCCACTTATCGTCGACGTCTTGGAGCCAGCTCAAGAATAACCGACCTGGAAACAATGAATTTTTTCGTGAGTACTATAGTTGGTAGATGTTCTGGATATACTCGTATTTGAGATAAAGACAATTCCTAATTTTAATGTCAAAAAATTCAAATTCCCAATGCCTACGCAGTTTGGTTATAAATTCTCACACATTCTATAAATTCTTGAGAGGAAAAGGTGGACATAACATAACTTTTAACAATAGCCCAAAACGGAAATCTGTTGAATAGAACTTTTACTATCGGGTTTTGCATTAGGGACTTGACGACAACTTAGAACTTTCACTGTGAACGCATCTTTAAATCAAGTAACGAACTGTCAATGTCAAAACATTCAGTAAAGAAAACATTTTCATCATGGTCAAGTACACCAACGAATACGCTTACACTAAAATTTACGACCGAAATTTCGAGTCGGTGACTGCAACTTTAAGAGCGTTAACGCCAATTTTTGGTCGTAATTCTCGACCCGCTAGACAAGCAATTCGGAGTCTAGTAAACAATTTAGGTCCATATATTCGCTACTGGATGTTCCCGTGCCAGTAAGAGAACGGGTTGGTCGAAGTGCCGAGAATATTGCTGCCGTTCAAGCTTCCGTCGCAAACGAACAGAACATGTCGATTCCACTGCGTTCTCAAGAATTGGGCATCGCTCGGACCACACGATGGCGAATTTTGCGAAGAGATCTTGGCCTGCACCCTTATAAGATCAGGTTAACTCAAGATCATATGATTGTACGTTCTTGAATTGAACTCTAGAAATGTTGCAAGAAAATAACCAATTTCATCGTAAAATCATCTTCAGTGATGAGGCGCATTTTTGACTAAACGGCTTCGTCAACAAACAGCATATGCATTATTGGTCAGGTGAAAACCCTCATGTGCTTCAAGAAACACCACTTCATCCACAAAAAAATAACTGTATGGTGTGGTTTTCATGCCGGTGGTGTCATTGAGCCATTTTTTTTTTTTCGTTAATGAAAATGATCGTCATGTTACAGTCAACAGAGATCGCTACAGGAACATGTTGCAACGTTATTTTTCTGGTCAATTGGATGGGCTAGATATTAATGATATGTGGTTTCAACAAGATGGTGCCACAAGCCACACAGCGGGTGAAACAATCGACATATTGAAATAAAAATTCGGTGAACGAGTTATATCGAGAAACGGCCCTGTCGAATGGCCGTCTAGATCGTGTGATTTAACACCTCTAGACTTTTTTTGAAGGGCTATATTAAACAATTGGTATATGCCAACAAGCCGGCGTCGTTTTAGAGGAGATCAGAGCCAATATTCGATCGCTACGAACGTGCCCATGATGGACATATGAACGAGGTCGAATTCCATTTATAAATGTTTGGAGTATATTTCAATCCAATAATAAAATTTTCGAGATATCTCAAATGGATTGCGTTGTATTTAAAAAGAAAGTTGTAAAGTCCTTAATGGAAAACCCATTATAACTCGAAAAGATAGGCTCACTTCGCGATCGAATTTCATTCGTCGTTGATCATGACGTCACTCAGTGACAATTGTTCCTGTTGTTTGCTTAACATTTTTATCGACCATATCGATTACAGGAACATTTTAATAATATATAGAATTAAGACACCACATAGGGCCATCTATTACCAGAACCGACCACTGCGGAAGTGAAAACATCAAGCTGACTAGATTATACAAACATATAGGTGTTATTTATCTTTTAATGTTTCTGCCAATAGAATTTAACGAAGTTATACCATTATAGATAAAATCAATTATCCGATATATCCGATTTGTAAGGTTTTGAATAGTTCAATCATTGCAAATGCGACTGTAGCTTTTCAAACAAAAATTTCTTTAGGGCGCCAAATAAAGGGATTTTTTTATAGAAACAAGTTGATTCTAAGAAATAACTTTTTGCACCAGTATAATAATTTTTTATATCAACTGTTTATACAGAAAAATAATAGGGTAGCGATCAATAAAAATATTTAGTTTTTTTACCATATTTAACCTCATTCTTCATTCATATACAGCGAAAAGTCAGCGCCCTTGGTAACTTCATCAATTGAAGGCACGGTATTGCATTGCTTTTCAACGTCCTTTTTTTACAGTACCGAAAAGTTATGGTAGAACTATGCTACGTTCAAACTTCTACAAAAAAGTTAAAATAACGTGCTTACTTGAACCGAGACTTATTCCTCATACATAAATATCACTACCTCACACTAGTCAAAAATGTACTTCGAGTTCCGCATTACAACCAAAAATGTTTACTTCTCATGTATTTGGTATGGATCACGAATAACTCACGAATAAAGCTCAAGATCAGGTCAGATTATCAAAAAAAAAACTTAGGTAAACTTGAAACTAAATGAACAGATACCATTATAGCGTGATCTCGCATTCCTATCCTTTTCTTCCTGTTCTGGTGTGATAAGGTTGTAAACCTCCTCATCCCTCAAAATCGTGCATACGGAAAACGGCAATGATTGATTTGCTAACGCTCTAGCGGCTCTACCATGCACCCTCAAAATTTCTTGTTCTACTGAGAGCACCAACTTTTCTTTTTCAATAACATGCTGAAAAAATATACGCATATTACAGCCTGATAAACATCCGTGATGCTACTCTTCTATTTACAACCAATATAAAAAATATCATTTACCACTGCCCACCTCTGTAAATGGTGGATGACAAACAAAATTCTTTGCTTCGGAGGTATAACACACATGTAAGTGAGTGCTTCAAAAGATAACAAAGGTAATACAGAATCTCTATATTTGGTATTTAAAATTGAATTATACATTGTTTTCTATGCATATGATCTTGAAGTAAACTTTTGAGATCAATTTGTTATACAGGGTGTCCCATTTCAATCTCGACTAAATATGTTGAAAATTACGCATTCTAGAAAAAGTGTTAAACAAAACTTGTAGGCTTTCAAGGGGCCAAAATTATGGGTGACCTTGATCACCACCTTTAAGATCATTTCACGGTCAAGTTAATATTTTAACATTGAAATTGAAAGTACGAGGAAATATTACTTCTGAATATCACCTTGGCCATGACCTTGATTATTGCCTTCAAGGCCATTTCAACGTCAAATAAAGACATCGAAAACAATTTCCCCTAGTGAAAATGTTCCGACAGCACAGTTGCCAGGATCACCGAAATGTGACCTTGATTATGACCTTCAAGGTAAAGTCAAAATGTCAAAAAAAAATCTCATTTTATACTGGAAATAGAAAAAGCGGGAAATTGAAGGTCACAATAGCACGTAAAATTCTCTGCTTTTTCTATTAACAGTGTGAAAATGAGAGGTTCCCTTTGAAAATTTTTGCTTTACCTTGAAGATCCTGGTCGAGGTCACATTTCACATTTGGATGTTTCCCATAGACCTCATAACTGTGCTGTCGAACATTTTTGCTAGAGCAAATTATTTACAACGTCTTGATTAGACCTTGAAATAGCCTTGTAGGAAATAGTCAAAGCCATGCTAATGGTCACATTCATATTAAAAATGTCCACCTCTTTTCAATTCGTATGTAAAATAGGGGGTTCTATATTAATATGTCCACATCTTTTCTATTCCGATGAAAAATAAGGCGTTCTACAGGGTGACTTCGAAGTTGAGTCATTTATTTTAACAGTGAGTAGATCTGATCAAAAGAAATGTTTTTTTCCTTTACCATTTTCCTGGTAAAATTAAAGTAACAAAGTTATAGCCCTTTGGAAGTTTGAGTACCGCCCTGTCTCAATAACAATATTATGTGGTCGTGTTTGGCGACAATGGATATAATCCGCCGTATCGGTTCATCGCATCGGAAACAAAAAAGCGAAAGAATTTGGAACGATGTTTTTACAAGTATCTCATTCATTTGTATACAGTCAGTGTCAGTGAATAGTGGTATGTGTTGCGTGGCTCAAACGAAATAAAAAATGGCACATGTTTATGCGGATCGGTTTCCCAATCGAGTGCAACCAACCCCTCGTGCCTTTGTTAATGTAGTTCAACGGGCTTGTGAATCAGGTGACTTAAGACCTCACAGGGGACCTCACGATCAAATACAGGTCCGCACTGAAATACTTGTCGGGAGGATACTTTATAAAACAAGGTAAAAATTTTTTTTTATTTTTTTTTTTATTTTTACACACATATTTTGGTTTATCTTCCTTCTACAATCATTATCTGAAAATTAATGACTCAACTTCAAAGTCACCCTGTATATAAATATTTACACTTGACCTTAAAATGACCTGAAAGGTCGTGGTCAAGGTCATTGTCAATGTCACCATCATTTTGCCCCCTCGGAACCTTACAACATTCGTTTGAAACTTTTCAGAGACTGTCAAATACACTCACCCATAAATATTAATGCAATGATGTTGCCTGACTACGCGCTGAAATGACCGTTCGATTCTATCAGACATTGATTGTTGGAAAGAACCAATTGTGACTGATTGCAGAAGAACTTACTTGTGTCCTCAACCTATACCGCTCTTTTTCTTGCTCGGTAAAGAGATCCTTTATTGGTGGGGGCAAATTTTGTGGATAATTGATGTTTGGAGTAGTGGGGCGCGAACCAGCTAATACGTACGTACAACGGTTCATGAGGTAGTCTTTGAAACCTTGCGGAGGTTTTGGTTGAACAGGGAACAATCCACGTCTCCTCTTCGCAATCTGAAAAATAAATAATTCGATAGATAAGAAGACTGTCAACTTCAAAATCGCTAAGAAGCGTGGTAGGCGGTGTGACTTTGATAATGCAATACTCTAGAGATTTCAAAATGTTTTTTAGTTCTCGATTCTTCATTCAAAAATATCATATTCAAACAGCGCACTACATTCAATCAGTTCAGAAAAGAATCCCCTGACTAATAGTTATGCTCATTTTTAGATTTTTTTTTTAACTAAAGCAGCCGCACTTCGCAGGATTGTATACTACAAAAAAAAGGTGAAGAGATTTTATTCACAAGACCTTTGGTCTGATTAAATTCGGTAGCTTCATCTGTTAGGTTGCACTTCAATCTGAATATACTTGGACTAAGATCAAAAAGGCTACCGCATCAGACAAATTTCGACGCATACTGTTCGGCCGACATATAATGAGAAGTAGGAGATTAGCTCTACTCAGCTAGGAGAAAATACTGATTAACGTATCCTCGAAAAAGATGTACAACATAGTGGACTTGCTGCATATGGTTGTTCGTTTAAAATTTTCCCCGTTACAGCCCTGTTTCCAAGTAGGATCACAGTAATACTATTAGAAGTGATAAAAATGGCGTCAAATGATAAGTACTATAAACAGTACTTATTAGTTTCACGTATCATCACAAGGTTTCGCAGCGTACGCCAAACAACGACTTTTATAGTCTCATTTTTGATACCGTGGGTTACAATTCCGTACCGTTTCAATTTACACAAAACACTGATGAATTATACACACCTACACCTTCTCCACGAATTTCTGTGTCCAATGGTGAAAACTGTATGAATTTCCGTTGGGTAGTTTTAAAGTTAATCGCGTTCATACAGTCGCGGTGGAGAACTTTGTAGTGCGTGGTGATAATGATTTTCGTTGCGCTGGGTGCGAAGAAATCTGTACGTGAAACATGTCTAATAAGAGCGTAGAATTACATAGGTTAGAACTAGATTATGAATATACTAACGCTTACAAATGAAGATCTACCACCCACGACCCCTACAACCTCTAATCGCCAATATCTATTATCCATTACCTACATTTTTTTTCTGAAAATGATCAAGGGCATCTGAAACGTCAATAAACATAGTTTAAGAGATTTTTCTTTTTACCATTTTTCCAAAACTACAAAGCTTTTGGGTCCCTCGCATACTAGCAAGCTTGTATGAAAATGTCATCAAAATCTGAGGGATACTTTCCAAGTTATGATGAGTGACATGTTTTTTTTGTGATGTACATGTCATGTAACATAAAAGATGATATCTCATTTTCGAAATTTTAGCAATTACAATATTTCCTCGCCAGTAGCCTGGCAACTAAAACAGAATAAATTGTTCTATTGACTGAACTGCAGTATGTATACTTTCAATTGGGCTAGATATTTCCTGGTGGAATATCTTGATCTATAGCCAAATTCATCAGTAAATATTATGAAATTTCCATCTTGGTGAGTTAATGTGAACAGTCCAACGGGATCCAGTTTAAGACCACTGAACCACACTCCACTTTTGAACAGTCTGATCCCAACTAGCAAAGTAGTGCTATAAGCGTTTGGTAAAAGAACCGTTCAGCCCGAGCCTTGTTGTTTTGCTGTGCATATTACTACTTTAGCCAACAAGTTGCTCCTAACGGAAGCACTTATACAACTGTTGTTTAGTAACTGTTAAAGGCTGTACATATGCTAAATATGTTGGTATACAACTTCACCATAACCTAACTTTCTGCTGTCATATTTTTGTTAAAATGCCATAACCAATGATTTAAGACAAACAACGCATGCATATTGGTTCAAAAGGTTTTATCAACTGTTCAAACAGAAGATATAGATCTGGTACAAATTCTGGGTAAATCATGCGACTCTGTCGGTATTTCATTTCAGACATTTGTCAATTTGTTGTATAACACCTGCAGGCAACACCAAAATATTCTAATAAACTAAAGACAACATGGACGATGCCATGATTGTACACAACAACCAGCCATATTGGGCAAACATTTATTCCTCTATTTAATATTAAATAATTATGTTTCAGTTCGAAATTACAGATATAAAGTGATAAACATTAGTGTAAATGTGTCTAAATATAGGATTTGTGGAAGATTTGACGCAGATAAGTTCAGTTATCCATCTTAAAAATCTAGACATACTTTTGATCATTATTATTATTATCAAAATATGCAGCAAATAAGAAGCCCGTAGAAATTGCGTAACTACTTTGCACGATAATCACAATAAAATTTGCTGCACAAGTAATTCAATAGCCCTGTATCACAGTGTAGAAGTTTATCATATACCTGTGTATGAAATTCACAATGGCCGATATGTAAGTAAACAAGATGACTGTAATGTGTTAGTTATATATTCTTCACTTCGTCTATGCAATACATAAGAAATAGTTTTGGTTGCAAGTAGAATCACATAACAGAATAGTTGTATAGTTGACAAAAACTGAATCTTGCACTGACGCAAATGTCCTATAGCGCCTGCAACACATTTGTTGTATAACTGTTACCTGCAGCCCTTATACAACCTCTTAAATGATTGAATAGCTGTTCTAAGAGGGTTTTGCCAATGTTCTTACAGTATACAATGCTGTGTAAGGAATACTGTATAATCATTCTTGCAACTCTAATAGGAGTGATAATTGTTAGTTGGGATTAGCACACGCGGATAGAAATATTTTTAAAAATCTGAGTAAAATATTCATTAAACCAACTATCACCACTTACCTGCTTCCTAATGTTCAAAAACAGCTGATAGCAATTCGTGATCGGTTGGTCGTGCGGATGTATCTGCACCTCTTGAGGCGGTTCAGGTTGCTCGGCTTGCGAAGCACTCCCTGCGGCACTCCCGCTTCCAGTCGCTGCAGCGTTCGCCTGCTCTTTGTTCTGTTTCATTTTGCGCTTGCGCGGATGCAACTCGACGGGGGCAGCTGCGGGGGCGGACGCTGATGAAGAGGATGTCGTTGCGGAAGTGGTGGCGGGGGACGTCGTCGACACAGAGGTCGAGGCGGAAGTTGACGTGGATGACGTCGTTGTGGAAGCTGTGGATGTTGTAGAGGTGGTCGATGGTTGTTGGGGATCCGTTTCCGTGTGGGATTGAGGCTACGAACAAAGTTTACAGATCACTATTTTTTTCTTCTAGGAGATTTGGTCACGGGGTCAGGCCAAGATTTTTAGCAGCACTACCTTCTGACACTCATAGGGCGGCGGGTACCAACAGAGGGGATTGAAAACTAAATTAGTATGTTGCTGAAAATATATCAACAGTTCTAATACATCCGTGTATGAAACCAATTTCCGAACGAATTTTTTATTTCGAACAACATAGTTTTGAATCCACTTGATTGGTGCTCGCCGACCTTATTGCTTTTAATTACTTTTGAATTTTTGACAGAGGCTTATGACGCTATTCTTAAGCCTCTGAAACAAGAAAAATGGGTGATAGAGTTTGATTTTGGGAATCTAAAAAGTGGCAGAAACATCCCAAAATTAAAATATTTTTTTTTAACACAGCAGATTATTTACAGTAATGGACAAAAGTATATAGACAAATTAATATTGTGCTGTATTTCTTTTTTAACCTGTTTTATTAATACACTAACCTGTATACATAATACTCACTTATACATAAATAAGTTCATTAGACTCCCTTCAATAAAAAATTAATTGAAAAAACTGGAACTATGAAGGACAAAAATATATAGACAAAGCAAAACAGTTATAGAAAAAAGAAGTAAAGTTTATTGAATTATAGAAAACCAATCATGTTTGTGTTAATATTTTGTAGCATAACCATTATTATCAATCACCGCCTGGCATCGTCTCGGCGTAGATTGTAGAAGTTTCTTGATATAAGATTCATCAATATATACTTTGTCCTTTACTGTATATCCCATAAAAACACATCAATGCACATTCAAATAAAATCTTTTACTGTTGTGAATGTATCTCTCCCGCGCTGCACACAATTCAACTATGCACGAAATATCAGCGTATCCTCTGATTTTTTTACACAAGTCTTGCCTGATACTATTTCACGACTTTCACATATACTAAACAACTACAAATTTCTGTTTTTTTAAACAAATTTGTCCTGGATTTTTTTCGACCGACTCTTTGCAATTAGCAATAATAATCTTGACGTTTAAAACAGCGATACCACTATGCATTTTTTGTTCGGTTAGTATAAATCGCTTTCTTCAGATGGCGCTCAAAATACGGTATAGGGCCATGTATACTAAAGGGTGTCTCAACAAGACGCCGGATTTGAATTTGCCGCCATTTGTTTGTACAAACGGTAAGGTGTTTACTTGATGACAGCTGTCATCATGTCCAGATCGCGCGATTAGACTTCATGCAGCAGTAATCAAACAAGCAACGTTTAATTATTGTAAAACTCACTAGAAAAATGGAGAAAATTTCGCGGAATAGTTCACAAACTACGTACAATTTTCGGTCGCAATAATGCGCCAAATGCGTCGACAGTTCGACGTTTAATTACAAATTTTGAGACAAAATTCATGTTAATGAATGTGAAAACCACTGTTCGTCGTCGTCCTGGTCGGTCACTCGAAAAAATAGTCGCAGTGCGCGAAGGTGTGGCCGAGAATCCAGGCACTTCCATTCGGCATCGTGGCCACTAATTGATGCGGATTTCTCGAAGAAAATCATTTTCTCTGATGAGGCACATTTTCAACTAAACGGGTACGTCAATAAGCAGAATTTGGGGATCTGAAAACTCTCGTGTTATAATCGAACAAACTATGCATCCGTCGCGATTATCGTTTGGTGCGCATTGTGGACTAGCGGAGTGATTGGACCGTATTTCTTCGAAAATGCAGATGGAACTGCGGTAACTGTTAATGGTGTGCGGTATCGCAAAATGTTAACCGAGTTTTTGTGGTCCCAGTTGGATCGAATTGACGTGGAGGATATTTTCTTCTAACAAGACGGAGCTACCTGCCACACAGCATGCAAAGCAATAGTGTTACTGCGGTTTCCAGACCCTGTCATCTCTCGGTTTGGCGATTAAAATTGGCCAGCATCATCGTGCGAGATACGGCGCGTTATCGACGAAAACGTTATCCAGAAATTTAATTAAAGACTAACTCTGTGCCAGAGGTTTCGTGGTGGCCATTTACCGGATGTGATATTTCATGTTTAATCGCAATTATTGCTCTTCAGGTTGAAATATAAATACTCGCTTAATTCGAAAAGAAATTGTGTTTTTCTTGAAAATCAAATGCGGCGCTTTTATTGAGACACCCTTTACTTAAACCCCTCTGATTGTTAACGTACAAATCTATCACAGTGGCATGCGTTTATGTTTTGCAGAACTACGCTGTGTTTTCCTGATAATAGTTTTTGTATGCTTTTTTCATCGTTATTTTGTGTCTGTTGGTGTAAATAAACTTTTGGCCCTGATGATGCGTTGTAGGCGATTCGCTATGGATACCAAAAAATCGTCAGGCATAACGTTGCAACGGCAAGATTACTTCAAAATTCCACAGTTAGACTGGAATACGGAATTTTTTAGCTCTGAATCGAGAATGGACATCTCGACTGATCGATGTAACAGCATCCCTGTAAGAGAAGGAATGGACATCTAGACACCAGTTTTTCATTGTGCTCTCACGAGCAATGCACAGGTGCTCACCTTGAGTCCCCAAACCAAGACATAGCAGGAAGCTAAATGAGGTAATTATTTTTGCCTTCAGGGACATGCCTGAGAGGGGGTTTTATATTGTGCCTGCGTCGATCCTGATTAGGACCTCGTTTTTCAGCCAAGCGGCTAATTGAGGTCCTGATCTATTTGAGCAACCCTATTTGAGGTCGGGCTTGTCAACACCTAGTCGTACATCAGGCTCCTAGCAAGCTGCCGTAGTTACAGAAGGTCGAGGGTCACCCAAAAAGTCATCCCAGGCTTTCCAGTAAGTTAAGTTTCCGAAGTTACTATTAATAACTGATACATTTTTGCTGAGGGGTAAAATTTTTATGATATTTGTGCTTTTGCGGTTTGACATTTATACCATATAATCAAATATACTAGAATTGTCTATGTTTTGGTGAAAATAGTTCTGCATCTCATTTATTAACAACCAACGCTAGAAGACGCGCGTCACAATGGTTTACAGGTTAGTATATTGTAAAGACAATATGCAGGACCTGAATAAGGCTTTTTCATTGATTGCTACTAATAATAATAATAGACGTCTTTATTTATCCACAATTACATTGTAGTATAGCCAAATGTCAGACTTATATGGCGAAGTTTAGCATGCTGCTACTCTTACACTAATGCATACTGCGAAACTTAACTCAGACTTGTGTCATCATAATAGGAATGTGCCATCGTTGGCTTCACCTCCTAACAGCATTTTGTATAAACACAAGTAATTCTGATACTGCCTCTCTAGATACTATCTTGATATTGTAGATTGATAATCAAGTTTCAGCAGTCATTAGACTAGTTCCAACAATGAGTTTCTGACAGACCAGAACGTTCAATTACAGTGGACCAGATCTGTTCAGTATGTAACTAGACACAATGACATAATAATTTGTCGGGATTAACTGAGTTTTTTTTTTAGATCTAACTACGGAGTTTTTAAGAAAACTTTTTGGTTCATTTCAATGGCTTCCATGAAAAATATGAGATACTGTCATTGTCATCTTTGATATACTTTGTGAAAGGCCTCCGAGGTGGCCAAAACATTAGTGAACTATCAAGTCAATTCTGTGATTTAATTTCACAGCTTCCAAGACCTTTATAATTAATAAACATCTTAATTAGCTACTGAGTGTTTTCACTTAATATCCTTCAACAGGTTTTAGACAAAAGTCCATTTATTTACCTCGTCTGAAGTGCCCGAAGCTTCTTTCTTTTCCTCATTGCTTTTCGAAGCACCGGTGGTGGCACCCTCGGATGTAAACGTTGCTGATTGGTCCTTATCGCTTGAGTCACCATTACCTCCTCCAGAACTGGCAACAACGTACGGCAACGCATGCTGCGACCTTTGTGAGCTGCTCTTGCTATTGCGACCCGTTGTGCCTTCTTGTTCACTGCTCGTAGTTTGAGGAATTACAATTTTCAATGGAGGCACCTTAGAATCAAACATTTCATATTATAAGATATGGTGATAAGAAGATCGACAGTACTTATCACGCAAAAATAGAAAATAATCTTATTATCCAGGTTGTTTAATGGAACCACAGATGTATATTGAAAAAATGACTAACGTTTTCGCCACCAATGTAAAGACATGTTTATCAATTTCCATCTATGGATTCATTCAGATTAGTCTGCGAGACAAAGCTTCAGGTGCTGCATGGTTATTTCCAAACATCTATGAATAGAGGAATATTCAAAATTTCAAGTGACTACAAGTTTCTTGGAGTATCTACTTTGAATACAGCTGATTTTGGAATGATAAGAGCTAGGGAGGAGATAAGTCTTATTAATGGTTGAAGCCTGACTGCACTTAATCACAAATGGTCTGAGATCTTAGTTATTGCCCGCCAACCATGTCGATTTGAAAAATAAAGTAACATATTTTCAATATTGCTAAAATCATGCTTACCTTGAGATCAGTTTTTCCATCCTCGGTTTCTGCATCTGATACCGGTTTTGGACTAGAACACGGACTCTTCTTATCAGCATTACTTTTCAACGAACCCGACGATCCCGACTTATTTTGAGCAGCAGATGACTGCTTGCTATTTTGACCTTTACCTTGACCTAAAAAGTCATTACAATCAATGATTACCAGGAAACTTTTGAATCTGAAATCAATTACTACAGATAACCAATTTTCAATAACAAGTTTTTTTTTAGGTTTTTGAGCCGTACCTGTACTACGTTGGGTTCCAGATTTTCCTTCTTTTGCAGTTTCATCTTTACGTTTCTTCCTCTTGGACTCCTCGTCATTCCCGGAACTAGATGGAGCTGGAGTATTTTGACCTGCGGTGCCACTTAACTCCTCATTGTTGTCTCCACTTATTTCTGCAAACGTCCTGAAAAAAATAGCACGAAGTAGGTTGACTCCAGTATTTCCCATGCAACTTTGTCATCAGTTCATAAAGAATTATGTTCCCATAAGTTTGTCCCGTTAGAAAGACGTATAAAAAAAGAATTAAATAGGTCAAGTCAGTCAAATAAGCCCATACAATTAGTATCTAGTCCTTAGGCCCTAACTTCCACCCTGAGAATCTGGCTGTCTCCTAAAATTTGCACATTTTCCATGGTTTTTATGCCATATTGAAGATTTTTAAAATTTGAGTCCCCATGAGGAAATCTGCAATCCTTCGCCCTTCAAAAACGTGTGAGGATAATACATAATTGTAATACACACTTGTCAATGAGTAATTATTGTTTAACAGTAGGAACATTTTACCGGGATTAGAAGAGTATAAATCTACTACAGCCAAAAAATTGAGGTACGTCGTACAACCAGACCCATCCCCAGCTACAACCTCCCACCTCCAACTATTTAACCCTCAAAACATTTTGTTGAAACGTGCTACCCGTAGATCCGCCGCCACTAACTGTTGTTTTATATTATACATGTATATAATTAACTACTTTCCAAGTTATAGAGGGGTCAAGGACTAGCGGACAGACAGACATAGTGGCTAGGGAAAGTAAAAGGAATTAAATCAGACAATTACAAAAAAAATTCTCTATAAACCCTATGACAAAAGTTCTGTTCATATTGCAAAAACTCCTCTTTTGAGTACGGTTTGACAAAGGCTTAAGCATCGATTAGTGTGTGAGTGGCTCAAAATTTGTGAGGAACCTCTCCGACCCGTGTAAAATATTATTAGCTTCTGCGAAAAAAATCTCTTACGCGTAGGACCCCTTCGCTTTAAATGTGGTCACTTTCTAGCCATTTTTCTCCGCTTACCTTTTTGTCGTGCCGCTTTGATTGGTCGAATCATCGCCACCCTGAGTGGCAGTAGTTCCAACAGAAGAATCAGCACTGCCTGCTTCAGCTTCAGTTGCAGATCCACCAGCAGCTCCCGACTGCTTCAAGTCTGGAGAAGTATTACCAGATGCAGCATCCTGAAAATTTTTAGAAAAAGGACCATTACTAGCCTGTACTTCCGCTAGAAGTCATGTTTCAGATGATAATACGAGGAGTCAGCAAATAGCCCTAATATCTTTAAGTGTCTAAATAAACTTTGAAAATATTTCAGTAACTTGTCCATGAAAGAATAATATTTTTGAGAAAGATAGGATTTTCGTGATATTAGCAGAGAAAACTGAATGATTGAAATACCCGTTATAGATGCAACAAGAGTTTTGGCATTCACAAATACGGTAAACGTTAATCTTACATCACGTTTAAATTTATTATTCATGTATGATAGGGTTAACGTTAGCGTTTACGTATGCGGTATATGTGATTGCCAAAATTCATCACGTCATAAGCGTTTCAGTCTCTATATCCTAAATCAATTTTCAACCCACCGATTTAAATTCGTAAACATCATCGGCGGCAGAACTTTTCACATCCATTGTTTCTTCTTTTTGTTTGTTAGTGCCGCTGGTATCTGCACTAGTGCCTTTTTTGTCATCCCTCGAGCGTGGCGGAATTCGGTTCCCGGATGTACCTTCTGAAACAGTTATCACAAAATCACTTAATCGTAAATGACAATCATTCTTGCTTTCAAATGCTACACAAGAGCCAAATAGGAAAGCTTAAAGTTGAGTGTTTCACTCAGGATTACTGAAGGCTAATATACGACGTTACGTACAACGAAAAGAAAGTATTAAAACACAACGATCACATAAAGTTTGTTTTTCAATATTGTCATTATACTTGCCAAGATAAAATATCGCTAAAAATGAATGATTAGCATTTCTTGAAACGCCTCTATATGTATATGACATTATGAAGGTACTTTATGACGAATGATTTATTCTTCTAGCATGTTCTCGACATTTTCTACCGTTAATAGCCTGTGTCTTACGGTTTTCAAATTTTTCATACTTGTTATCTTTTGTACCGCGATATATCCGGAGCAGAAAAGTATGTGCATCGTTATTCCATGAATATTATTCAAGTAACAGTTACCATGCGAGAAACCTGCCTCAGACATTCAGTTATTTTCTGATAAAGCTACAGTCGAGTAGATTTACTTTTACACTACAATAATTATGCGAAAAAACAAAACCTTAACACTGTTTTCGATAATTCCTTGAAGTGGTGCGGACAAAAATCAAAACTTTAGTTACAGAAATCCTCGGATCTACAAAATAAACCACTTTAAAAAAATTATCTCAACTTCAATAGTGAGATAAACGTCGAATTTTGGCCTTGGGGATCAATGTGTGCCCAAAAACGACTTCAAAGCGAGAATCAAACATGAGGTTATTTGCATTGTACGCGCTAAGCGTTTATGAGAACAAAGATGTAAGCTTACGAAATATCTCAACATTTTTGCATGCGAGTTCAACCCTGTAGCACACAAAATCTTTCCAGAAGGTTCACAAGGCTGCTTAGTGACACTAAGCACGACGGCCCTTACGTCTATTTATATTATACATTCCATTGCTTCTCTGGGTACTTGTTCCCAGGATAAACTTTCTTAAAGATACGGGCGCGGATGGCAATGCAGTTCAATTATTGCGTGGAGGAGATCGCTTCTCAGACCAAGTAGTGCGCTTTCTGGACTTGATTACAGTGTTGATGTGCTATTTATTGGGTGTAGTGTTTTGGTTACCTGAAAGGTGAGCAATCCCTGAGTGTTTCCTTTATTCTACTATACTGCATGGATTGATAACCATAATACTTTTATATTCATGATCATGAATGTCTTAAGCCATGTTTATAAAGATTCTATACTTTTTACCTTCATAATTTAACTTATGGCTTACGACTTGTTATTGAATATTCGCAGGTGGGACGCCTCCAGGTTCTGGCGGTTGTTATGGGACTTTCCGAGCCCGAGCTGGGTTGAGATAGTTATGTTACTTACTGCTCGGTTTCCTCTACCAGGGGAAATGTCGGAGCGCTTTGGATGTTGACACGGTGGCCTTTGGCCGAAGTGGCGTCCTTGGTCTGAATGACCGCTTAACTATCTTCTCTTGGCAATCACTGGAGTTTGAATGTATCTCATGGCAGGATGTCTGAAGGGATTGTTACTTTAATGATAGTCATATTGCTCGGTTACCTCTGATTCAGGGGTAACATCGGAGATTTGGGGTATTGACACAACGGCCCTTGGCCAGCGTGATAACCCGGTTCCTGCACTGTCTTTTGGTAACAATCGTTAAACTCGACACGTCTGACTATACACCTAGCGACCAAAGAGTTAGAGTTAGTCTGTGTCACAACTCCGAGTTAGTCTGTGTGACGACTCCTAGTCAGTCTGTGTGACGACTTAATGATCATTCTGTGTGACGGTCAGGATTAGTCTGTGTGACGATCCCGTGATTCAGTCGATGACGAATCCGTAGTAGTATTTGGCGTACATTAATGTAATAGTAATTAGTAGATTTGTGCATGTGATGTCATGAGTCAGTTGAATACGGGAGATACTCATAAGTCTTTTTCTAAAAATAGGTGTTGGCCCAGACAATCCGATCATATCGCCCTTAACGCTTGCCAAAGGAGGATAACTCGTTGTCGTTTCGTCACCAAGTAAGTGACTTTAATATTACCCTGACATTGTTGCCCATGTCGAATAGTTTACGTACTGCCCATGTAGTAAAAATGAAATGTTACGGGGCGATACTTCGAAATCTTCTAAGATGAGATGTTTTCACGTTTATCGTTATAGTGCTATTATAATATCTCTTTCGTATCCTACATAGATATCAACCTGTTGACCGTATTTGCCACTTGCATTGAATAAAAAGTTAATGAGCGATTAAAAAGACGTATGTTTTTCAGAACCGTTTTATTTTCTATTTACACCGTTACACATGCTACTGTCAATCATGTGTGTTGACTAAGCAAAAAAGTGTGGCCAACATACGTTACAAATCAATACACGAAGGAAGCTAGTTTTATTTTTTAAAGTGACTTGTGATATCTGAAATGATATGTTACCGACACCTCCGACTATGATGAGGTAATAAATATTAACGATAATGGTCTTCATTTGAATGCGTCGAAAGCATCTGCTTTGTTTATATTATGTTAAGTGTCTAGAAAGGTGCAAGGGTGCGGGGAATGACCTAGGGGAGAAGCGTGGAAAAAATTCTATACCGTGACCTAACGCTGAATACATGACATTTATTTATTTATAATTCCCAGCAGGTTACACCTAACAACGAAAATAAATCAATAATTTAACAACAGCGGAACATAAAAAAAGAAAAACGCAAATAAATGTATACAAGAATGCCAGTATTTGGAATGTGGAAATAGCATTTAACATATTGATTCTATATCACATCAAGGTACCAATTTCAGTAACAACCCAATACAGTTATCTCGATTACAAAAAATATCATACGCGGAACAAATTGCATTGGAACACTTATACATATAGTTTATATTTACAGCCAATCTTTGTGTTACTAATGTCAGGGTAAAACAAATTCTGGCAGCGGCTACCTAACCTAGGGACGGGAAAATTAATTTTACTTAATTTTAAGGGTCAATCAATTTGATTGTTTAGTACTTTATATGAAAATCTCAGCACCGATAAGACACGCCTTAGTTGTAAACGGCTCAACTTGAAATATTCTTAACAGTGCCTATTCGTAAAAACCTCTTTCAGGGTAACGACCGTGACACTTAAAATAAAAATATTTAAGTGTCTTACGCTGAACGCACTCAACGGTCGCTCTGTAGTTTTGATAGGTAGGAGGCCAGATGACAGATGCGTACTGCAGCTTACTCCAAATAAAAGTCCCTATCTATTTATTATTGGTACGTTCACTGACTTGACAGATATCTGGCAGTTTGAAAAGATTTTTTGGTCGACGGAAACTTAGTAACTTCCACTGGTCTGATCGATAGAAATTTAGCATCATGCTACCTCAGCGATGATAGATCAACCTTGAATGTTTCACTTTTGAGATGCTTCGTGACTACCAACTTGCTAACCCGAATACGGATGCAAACGTGACTCTCTCATTTTGCTCTGTTTATAAACAACGAGTGCTAAGAGACGTTTATAAATCAGCTTATGACTTAAGGCGTCGTCGCTTTTGAATGTGGTGACTCAACTATATTTATATCAATGAAAAGTGCAGATTCATACGCCAACCTTATTTTCAAGAAGCACTCGTGCTTGTTACGCTGCAGCTGAAGCAAAATAAACATCGACCAACGCTCACGTCACAGGATTATGCACAGTGTGTCCCCAAAAAATTATGCATCCTTCACTTACGGCCCCTAGTACGTCCTCCCCAACGTTTACTTATGGCTCGATACCAGCAACCAGAAGCTATTGAAGATTGGGTATGAACCAAAAAAATTCCCCTTATATTAACCGCCGAGTGTTCTATTACGCTTTATAATAAGAAAAAATATCTTTATTAATGCACATCAGTTTAGCGAAATTTAGCCAAAGGGCTACTCTTACACTTGTAGGATACGAAAGAGATAATATGATAATAGCAATATAAGGATGAACGTGAAAACATCTCATCTTAGAGGATTTCTAAGTACCGCCCCGTACCATTTCATTTTTACTAAATGGGCAGTACGTAAACAATTCGATATGGGCGACAATGTCAGGGTAATATTAAAGTCACTTACTTGGTGACGAAACGACAATGAGTTATCCTCCTTTGGCAAGCGATAAGGGCGATATGATCGGATTGTCGGGGCCAACACCTATTTTTAGAAAAAGACTTATGAGTATCTCCCGTATTCAACTGACTCATGACATCACATGCACAAATCTACTATTTACCATTATATTAATGTACCCCAACTACTACTACGGATTCGTCATCGACTGAATCACGGGATCGTCACACAGACTGACTAGGAGTCGTCACACAGACTAACTCGGAGTTGTCACACAGACTAACTCTAACTCTTTGGTCGCTAGGTGTATGGTCAGACGTGCCGAGTTTAACGATTGTTACAAAAAGACAGTCCAGGAACCGGGATATCACGCTGGCTAAGTGCCGTTGTGTCAATACCCCAAATCTCCGACGTTACCCCTTAATCAGAGGTAACCGGGCAATATGACTATCATTAAAGTAACAATCCCTTCACACATCCTGCCATGAGATACATTCAGACTCCAGCGATTGCCAAGAGAATATAGTTAAGCGGTCATTCAGACCAAGGACGCCACTTCGGCCAAAGGCCACCGTGTCAACGGCGTTTCCCCTGGTAGAGGAAACCGAGCAGTAAGTAACATAACTACCTCAACCCAGCAAACGGGCTCCGAAAGTCCCATAACAACTCCCAGAACCTGGAGGCGTCCCACCTGCGGATATTCAATAACAAGTCGTAAGCCAAGTTAAATTATGAAGGCAAAAAGTATAGCATCTTTATAAACATGGCTTAAGACATTCATGATCATGAATATAAAAGTATTATGGTTATCAATCCATGCAGTACAGTAAAATGAAGGAAACACTCAGTGATTGCTCACCTTTCAGGTAACCAAAACACCACACCCAATAGCACATCAACACT